AACAAGAAGAGGAAGAAGAAGACGGGGAAGAGGAACCAGAGGATTAAAACATACATAAATATATATATATATAATTAAACATTGGAAAGCATTTGGTAGGCAAACAGGATCTTTTGTTTAGCTGAGGGAAAAGGGTGGGTCAAGTCAACCATTTAGTAGTAAATAATTAAGAAAATAGCACGGCGTCAAGAGCACTGGACGAAATGGACGGAATAACACAGCAAATTAGAAATTTAACGGGATCAAAAAGGAAGACAGACAGACGTGGACGGAGAAGAGACAAACCAGCAACATGGATGACGTGGAACAGGAAATTAACGTGGAATATTTTGGCATCAAGATGTAAGAAGATTCATAAGACTAGCAAGAATTATAAATTGGATTGAAAAGTTTGAGTGATATGAAGAGAAAGAGTGAAAGGGTTGAGTGTTTAATTAATCCTTGCTGGATGTTTGGCCATCTACCTCTTCTTAGAGCGGATGAGATGAAATAGTTTGAAATAACTCATGGGCGTCTTGGATTAGGTTGTAGCGGTTATCTTATGGAATGGAAAACGGATTGATGATACAATATTGGACGGCGATGGACTTATTTACGGATAGAAGTGGACTTGGCGCGGTTTGGGTCCCAACAACAATGGACGTTATTCTTGGAAATCTTGGTTAAAAATTACGAGGAGTAGTGTTCTTTTGGCATTTCCACAGGAATGCTGCGGACAGCATTAAGTTGGGGGGGGATGTGGTGTGCTGTGCCTGTTCCAATGCCAAAAGCATACAGAATAGGTGATAGCAACACACACTTAACATTCATTACAAGAGGAGGAACATTCATTACATAGGACATACAACATCAGGATACGGTATACATATGTAGGGGTGGTGTGTGCATGGGTAGGTTATGTAATGTGGGTTTATTTATTGTGTAATCAGTGGAAAAGAACATAAGACAGTTGATGAGGAGGGGAGAAGGAAGGTAGGCAGAGAGGCTTTGACCCTGAAGAATGAACAAGGAAGGAAGTAAGCAAGTGTTTCATCTGATGTTTCGTCTGTTGCTTCATCTGTTGAGATGAAACACAGAACATTTGGAATGTGGATTTGGTTTCCAAGTCACAGATCTCATAAGACTGTATACTGTACTGGATTACTGCTTTGGAAGGTTTCAGCACATGCTACATGGCTTGGTTTCATAGCAACCAATGACATCATGCTGTGCAAGTGTGTGTCACCTGCAGCAAAAATGTCTCACAAGGAGTCCCCTGCAGCAGAAATCCCTCACTCTTCAATATAAAAGGAGGGCCTCTCTCCACCAGGATTCTCTTTTCCCCCATCAGCCTACAACAGTCTCTCAGAGCAGTAAGTTTGGTTCTGAGCTACCGGAAGTGTTCTGGAGTGTCAGTAAAGTTTGAAGAGTTAGAATTAGTGTTAGTTAGTGAATATAGGATCATCAACCTACAGGAGTAAGTTGGTCACAATTAGTTAGTAGTGTGCGTGTTAGAGAATTAGTTAAGTAAAGTCAGTGATTTATAAGTAGTAGAACCAGAACCATTCAACCATAACAAAGTGAAATTAAGTAGTATTATTAACAAATAACAAATAACAAGTAGTAGTAGTAGTAACACCGGAGCTCTAGTTGTGATTAAAGTGCCTTAGCAAGAAATTGTTCGAGGAAGAGATCATTAACAAACTCTAAATAACAAATTCAACTGTCTTGCGCTCAACCATAAGCGCCACAGTTTCCATTATTAACCTGAAGTTGTAACAGATTCATTAGTAGATTGATACGTGATCTGGGTCTGATAGAGATTACTTTACAAAAGTAAGATCTATCTTGGAATCAGCCGCATATTCTTAAATATTGATTACAAGACTCTTAGTTATTTGTTTAGTACAATTAGAGGGGCAGGTCTTTCAAACCACCCGTAAGTTGTAATAGCCTTTCAACCTATTTGCAATTTATTTCCCCCTCAAGGGATCTTTTGATATACATATACTTTACCGTGTCTATCCGTCCCAGGAGTCCTACAACGGTGAGCCGACCAAGAGTTGGTTGTAGCAGCTTGGAGGGAGAGCTGCCAAAGCTGCCAAAAGTAGCAGCCAAGGGCAGCTTTGGTCCACCCCTGCGACCATTGGCAGCTTGCTCAGCAGCACCGCTAGAGGCCAAAAAAGGCTCGCAGGCCGCTGAAGTTGGTCCCAGGTCCCGCATCAGCAGGACCGTTGGAGATGCTCTAACTTTGCTGGTGATACACTGATTCTTGATGGTTTTGTTCATTAGCCCGGTTCACATTTCACACTTTCCACTGCTAACTTGTAATAAACTTTCTGCTTGCTGATTTCGAAACTCTGTCCAAACTTGCACTGGCAGCAGGCTAATTTTAAGCGTGAGATCTCAATTCCCTCTGCTAACTTCAAATAAAAAATTTGCTAAAAAATTTGAAATGTGAACCGTCCTATTAAGTGCGAGATAATTCACCCAATATGATCATAAACCAACCAGCAATTATCATTTCACCAGTAAGCCAGGTCAAAAGATGTCTGGTGTGAGGATTGAACCCACAACCTCCACATATTCACTGTACATGTGAGGCACACTTCTACCGTTAAGCTATATGCAATATGTTTTAGCCCTTCAACCTCTCATAAGACCCCTCCCCCCAAGTAAGTTACGTTACCCCAAAAAAATATATGGAAAAAATAAAATTGGTTCTGTTACTTTACTTTACAAGCAAATTTAGTTACTTTACAAAAACAGTAGATTTGGATAACTAAAAAAAAGTTACATTCTCCAAACCCCCTGCTTTAACGTACCGTAACGTATCTGCCCACCGCTGCATTTAATGTGTGTATAATGTGGATATATTAAGAAAGAACTATGAAAGTACTGAGTAAAATAATAACTTATGGTATATTTGGAAGTGATGGAGATACTATATGAAGGTTATTGAAAGTAAATTGATGACTGGAGTGGAATGGGGGTATGGAATGATAGTAGAGTGAAATAGATGATGATGATGGTAAAAATGACCTTACAAGGTTAGGTATGGGAATACCACAACATGCTGGTAGCAGAGTGCCTGATCATGTGTGAGTGTTAGCTGGATGGTTGAGCAGGCCATGTCCAGAAAGGTGTCCCAGTTGGTGCCATATTCCTCAGGGCTATATCCACTTCAGGGGGTCAGGCAAGGGCTTTTCCATCTTTGATATTGTCCTTTGGCCAGGTAGTGTCTTATCCACAAGGTCAATGATACCCTGAATATTCAGGGCATTGACAAGTCAAGAATGCCAGGCTGTAAAAGTAACCGAGTTTCTGTCAAGTTGTGGTACCGTTGTGGAACTGCTCAGCAAGTGAGTAAAGAGCTTGGAGGGGATAAAATTGCTAATAAGACTATGAAATAGTAGAATTAGTATCTGTGTGTGGGTGAGACTGCCCTCCTGTCTAGCTTGCGGGAAAGTTACACTAAGAAAAATAAGAGTGTGGCTTATTTCTAAATTTATCTTAGTGTTGATTCTACTGTTATTGTTGCTTAAGAATACCTGTTGGAGAGGTAAGGAGTTTTGTGGGGTTTTCTGAGTAATAAGGGTTTCTGAAGGGTTTCTCTGTTATAAATTCTCTCTGGTCTCTGGTCTCTCTGGGCTCTGATAAAGGGTATGCTTATTTCTCTGATATCTGTTGCAAAAGAGTTGAGGATGGCTAAGCAATATCTCTGAATTACTTGTCTAGGGCCAAAATTGAGGTAAGGGAAGTTCAAGGGCTCTAATATTCTCTGGATCTCTTAATCAAGGGGTGATGAAAGCTGAGTAATATCTCTGATTACTATTCTGTAGCTAGCATGAGGAGGGAGAAAGGAAAACATAAGCCAGAGGAGCCTCTATTTATAGACAAATGGTTCTGCAGTACATGGGTTTTTGGCCTGAACACAAGTTCATCTGAGAAGGGTACTTCTAGAGTGGTTTTTACTACTCTGAGATGGCCTATCTGATATGAATTAATCTCTAAGTGCCTTTCTAATACAAGAGGTTGTAAATCTACTATATGAAGCCTATTCTTAGATTAATTAATATGAGAATGGTATTCTTAGACTATTTAGTATAAGAGTTATTTTCTAGAACTAGTCTGTGAAGTACTTTCTGATCAATACCTTGATTTACCAGTCTAAGATGGATGTAGTATCTCTTTATGTGTTTTTACAGTTTATTTGTATAATTATTATTCATAAGGATTTATGTATTTTAGGCCTGATTTGGGCTTTTATCTTAGCTATGTTTTAACCCAGTAATTATTATACATTGTATTCTATATTTTACCCCTTCTTCTCTAACATCTTAAACACTATTTATGTGTAATAAAATATTTTTAACTAGATCTATGGGTTTGATTAATCTCACCACATCCTCCCCCAACTTATTTGTCTGCCCTCAGACAAGCTCTCTGAATTAGATAATAAAAATTAAATTTTATATGCGTAGAATTCTTTGAGAAGAAGAAAGGAAAAAGAAAGATATATCCGGAAAAAAAAATTGGATTCTCAGTTATATTCCCGTCCTGCAGTCTTGGAAATCTTGCTTGAAATTTTGAAAAAAATTGCTCCAGGTTTTGTCTTCAGTTTTCATTCATGAAAGTTTAAAATTTTAAATTTTTCAGGGCCACAGCGCGGTTTTCTTGAATTTTTCTTGCTGAGTTTATGTTTTGTAACCAGATTTTGTTTGAATTCTCGCGCAGCAAATTCGGTCCCCGTTTGGCCGCAGTCTTTTTCGGTATACGCGGGATTTCACCTTATTCCTCTAACTTGTTTTCAAAATTCTTAGCGAACATTCTAAACTCGAGTCTCCGGTATGTGAATCTCTTTTATCGATCTTTATTTCTTTTTCACAAGTTTTTATAAAAGGGAAGAAGCTGATCCAATGTTGGATTTTTAAACTTTGTGATCTTTTATCAGTCGAAACACTAAGTCGTCTAGTCTCGGATCAATCTTGGATCCGTTCTTCGATTTCATTCCAAACCACCTAATCGATTTCGACCTCAAGTTTTCCCTTGACGGCGATTCCCGTGATCCCTCGATTTCTAACGACTAGTCTTAAAAGAGGATATTTAGTTTGTTGCTTGTTTCTCTTACTTTTATTTCGTATCTTTCTCCTTTCCCATACAGCGACCATTCTCCAACTGATGCGTGAATTCGTAAACGACTTCTCTAACGACTTGTAGGATTTCGATTTGTACTTGATTCTAGGATTGGCTCGGTCTAAATAAATCCGTAGGATTTTTTTTTTTTTGATTGTCTTTTCTTTCCAGGCTTGACTCGTCTGATGAGGTTGAATACCGGTTTCTTAGATCACATTTCGTTGTTTTACTTCAATCCTGGCTGAAAAATTCAGACTTCGATCTTTTACGATTCGCCTTACGATTCGCCAATTCTCTTTTTCAATCGATTCCAATCTCGTTCTAATCATTTCTGGAGCTCTTCCCCACCACACGTATCCTTTTCACAACTGATTTCTTTGTACGACGTCCGTGCTGAACTTCTCTCTTTGAGTCGCATTTGGATAAACTCGGACTGTTTTTCTTTCAACAACAACCTCCGCGACTTCCTCTTCGATTTGAAAGCTATTTGTGAACCAACACTAACTCGCGTTTTCGAACGATGACGGCCGACTTTATCCTACCTGGCCTATTCGATTAAAGATTCATATGAAACGGCCTATTCTCCAACGACTTCCATCTGGTTTATCGAATGTCCCCAACTCTTCCCAATCTCTCGACTCCCTCCTTGCCCTCGATTTTATTTTAAAAGCAGCCCTTCCATCGTCCGTCAGCCAGTTCCGTTCTCAGTCCCAGGCCAATTCGATTCAGACACCACCCTCGATTCGACGATAATCGCCCAAAAAAGATCCAGGTATGTTATTTCTTGTATCCCCTTGTAGTCCTCTTTATTATGCCTCATTTGGGCTCGATTGTTTTACCTCCTTTTACTAACATTGCCTCTCGTTCTTTTTAGTTCTACAAAGACGTCGCTACTAGCCCGGTGATCTTTTTAAGCCGTGTCTCGATTTCCAAGGATCCAGGTTCGTAAACTTCCTGTTCCACAACAAAGACTTTCGTCGCCGAATCAGGAGTGCTGATAACCTGTCTGTTTCTTCCTTTCTTCACTGCGTTATTTATAACCGTAGACAACTTGTTACTCATCCGCTACCCCTGCTTAGTTCTTCGCCCTTCAACAGCCCTCGTTTCGCGTTATCCCAAGGCATTCCAAGGTAAAGTTTTGTTTTATTTGATTCGATTGTTCTGATTCTTTAACTAACTTTTCTGTATCACTTGTTCCTTTGTATATATATATAAACTCCTGTTTTGACCGATCTTGTCTCGACCCGGCCCGCGCTTGAACCCGATAATCATTACCAGCTCAAAGCGAATTCCAAGGTATGACATTTCTTTCATTCTCCAGTCCACCATTCTCGTTATTGATTTGCTGATTTCGTAATTCGTTCCTTTCCCTTTGTTTGTTTTTTTTTTTTTTTAGGTTTGTGTGACAGACTCCGTTCTCTACTGTTTTGAAAATAGAGATCCTCGCTCTATCCAAGCCCGCTGACATCACGCTCTTCGCCTTCGATCGGTCCTCGCGCTTCAACCGCACACCAAGTTCGTTTTTCTTTTCTTCTAAATAAGTTCAAATCTGTCATTGATAACTAATTCTAACGGCTCCTTCTTGCTTTTTTTTTGTATTTTTGTATTCTTGTAGAAACCTCAAAAAAAGGAAAATGAACTCGTGCGCTTGTTTTCTCTTCTTCTTTCCTGCTATTTATTACAACCTAACTTCCCCTTCTTTTTATCCTCTCTTCTTAGCCGTTCCAAGGTTACCGACCAAACACCCATCTTCATCGACTCCAGCCCAGCTCTTTCTCCCATGGCCGAGGAAATGGAGATTTCCATGCTTTTGACTCCACCTGTTTTTAGTATCTACGATGGCGACTGCTTCACCCAACCCGAGTTCGATGCGCTCTTTGCCTTTGTCATGAATCAGATCGCGATTTACTGTCGTGACAACTTCCCTAAGAATTTTATTGAACACAAGGCCCGTGTCAAGCTCTACATGGACATCTCCCGTGGATTCAAGTTTGTAAGTAGAGCTTCTTGTTCTTTCCTTTCTTGTTCAGATTTTAACTAATACATATTTTTATTATTATTTTTTTTCCTTATTTTAGGCCAACGTCCATAACTTGATCCCCAAATATGAGAATGGGATGCCCCATGGTCCTTCTTCAGGTGATAACCACGCCTGTAAATTTTCATTCTTCTTCTTCTTCTTCCTCCTCCTCTCTTTTGTAAAAAGGTTTGACGTGAGTTGCTGCATATTTTCTAGCTACTTCGGCTCCGTCCAACTCCGCCAGCGCGTAGGATCCTCCAGGTAACTGACTGACAACACGGTAAGGTCCATTCCATTTGTTTTCAAAAAGTTTTCCCCATTGAGAATCTAAGCTTTTATTATATACTAACACTAAATCACCCTTTTTTAATGGTTCTCTATTTTTCTTCTTCTTATCCCAATAGTTTATTGATTGTTGTCTAGTTTTTATTAACTTATCATATGCTTGTTGTAGCCTCTTATCCCTCTTTTGTAATTGAATTACCCTGGCCTCAAGAAGTTCTTGAGTGCTTTTGATGCTCCACCAATCAATCCCCAAAAAAGTTTCAAATTCTAAGTCCACCGGAAGAATAGCTTGCTGGCCAAAAACCAATTCAAACGGAGTATACCCTGTCGTACGCTTAGTCGAGACACGATCCGCAAACAGCACTAATGGCAGATATTCTCGCCATTTCTTTCCTTCGGTCCCACTCAATTTGACCAAGGTGTCTTTAATTGTTCTATGCCCACGTTCCACCATCCCGTTTGCTTCTGGATAGTAAGGTGTCGTGACTCTAGTCTGAATACCCATTGATTTAAGAATGTCTTGAAACTGAGCTCCGAATTCTGATCCTCCGTCTACCACAACATTTGTAGGTGCGCCATACCGGAGTATCCATGATTCATGAAACCAGCTGGCTATTTTCTTTGCTTGGATTTTCTCTAGACCAACCGCTTCGACCCATCCAGAAAGATCATCTCTAGCAACTACTAGGTATTTCCATCTGCCTGCTTTTATATGGAGTGTATCTAAGCTGACTCGACTGAATAACACAGATCTTCCTGTTGCGTGCCGTTCCTCCATTGGTAACGTTGAGCTTCGCTTCTGACAGGGCTCGCAGGATCTAACCCAATTTCTAACAACTCTCTTCAAGTGGGGCCACCAGAACCGTAACTTGACTCTTCGATACGTTTCTTCTGTTCCTCGATGTCCCAGGCTTTCATGGAGTTCTTGTAAGATTTTCTTTTGTATTGTTGGCACCGAGATTACTACTTGCGAATATGGCTGGCTCTTTTTGTGTAAAACTCCGTTTGAAATGAAGAAAAAGAAAGATTTTTGTTTAATTTGCTTAAATTCTTCTTCACTAATTCCTGGGGGTCTATTCATTGTTGATAAATAATATTCTAAATTTTTCCAGAATCCTTCTTGCAGGTTCACAACCTCCTTCCCCAACTTAGCTGTTGTCCCCAACAGTCGTACCGAGAAAGCTGCCTTCGTTCCAAATCCTGGGTGTGGTCTCATTGACTCCTCGTCTTCATCAAAGCTAGGACTGTCTTCTTCGTCCGAATCTGGCGGTCGTCTGGATAATCCGTCTGGCATCGTGAAACTCTTAGCCGAAACGTGTATTAGGTCAAATGAAAATAATTGAATAAAGGCGATCCATCGATTCATTGGTGCATTAGGTAAGGAGGGGTTGTTGATCATGCCAATAAGACATTTTGCATCCACTCTCAATTCAAAATGCTGACCCCATAAAACAGTTTGTAATTTTTTTAGGACTTTAGTTACACCGCATAATTCTAGTTTTGATTGTGAATAGCTTGATTCTCGCCGTGAGAAAACTACAGATTCGTAGAGAACCGGTCTATCCATGCCTTTCGAATCTTCTTGACTGAGTACAGCTCCTGCGGCAATTTTACTTGAATCGACAGATAATCTAATCTTTCCTGCATTTTCACCGTAATCCAATTTTTTTAATGTGATGTCCACGCCCACGATCTTCTTGAGTTGTTCAAAGGATTTTTGACAGTCCTCTGTCCAGTCCCATTTAGCGTCTTTCCACGTAAGTCTTCTGAGAGGAGCGGCTATATTGGAAAAATCTTTGATAAACATTCGAACGTAAACACAAACGCCCAAGAAACCTCTGACGTCGGTTGGATTTCGTGGAGTTGGCCAAGTTTCGATTTTATTCAGTTTCTTCTTCGACACTCTTCTTCCTTCTTTGCAAACTACGTGACCAACCAAATCTAATGCTGGAACGCAACATGCAAACTTCTTGGCAGAAATAGTGAGTCCTGCTTCTTCAATTCTAAATAAAATTCTCTCCAGCGTGATAGCATATTCGTAGATAAATCGGCGGATTCCAGGATTCTCCTTCAGTGTCTCTCCTCCGTAGTCAGATTCCGGACCTTTTATTCCTCCGTCATTGATGAATATTCCTACGTTGTTTGGTATCTCGTCTTGCAGAATCCAAGTCATCTGAGCTTGGTACACGGCTACTGAATTAGTGGCACCTTGAGGTAATCTGGTAAGTTGAAATCTACCTAGAGGAGTCTCAAAAGTAGTTAAAGGTCGGGATTCAGGGGCTAATTCTCGTTCATCATATCCCCCCATTATATCTCCTAAACCATAACAGGCTCTACCAGTGAAAGATTGAACCAATTCTTCTGGCGAGGGTGGTAATCCGGAGTCTTTAATGGTTACACTATTTAATCTTTGTAGATCATGAACTATTCTTAATTTTCCATCTTGCTTTTTAATGCAAAAGACCGGACTTGAATAACTGGAACACGATTGCTCGTAAAGTCCCGTCCTAAGTCTTTCTCTGACTAGTTTGATAAACTGCTCTTTAATTGGCCCAGGGATTGGGATCGGTTTCTGTTGCCATGGCTCGTGTGGTATAACGGGAAGGACGTATGGTTTACCGTAAGAATGCTTCAAAAGTCCGCGCTCTTCTTCTGAAAAGGCTAGTGCTCCAGCTCTAAGAGTGATGACATGACAAAATAAATTCTTTTCTTCTTCTGATAACCAAGTTGGGGAACCAAAATTAATCATTTTTAATCTTTCTTCTGTAATTTTTGCAGTAGGCTGAAATTTCGGTGGATTTGGTACAACTGGAGTTAAATAAGGGTCACGAGATAAGGCAGGCCTTGAGAGAGGTGGATTAATAGACATTGGCATAGGTATGTTTATAGGTTTAATTTTCTTTGCAGTAGATTTATACTTTGCAGCTTGGCACTCAATTCTAACCTTCCCCGGCTCCTTATCTACTTCAAGCAGTCTTTGTCCGGGGTCTAATCTAAAAAATCTCTCGTGACTAGGTGAGTTGGCAGAGTTGTCTCCCATTTCTGATGACATGGTAGCAAAATTGGAATTAAATAAGTCTTTCCCTTTTTATCCATAATAGCCAAAGATTCTCCGCCATTATCCATGTATTTGATCGTGGCTGCAGCGTCAATCAAGAAAGGTTTCCCTAAGATGAACTGTACCGCTCCTCGAGCTATCCAAAAGTGAACCGGTCTTGTTATTTTTCCGATCACCACTTCGACTCCTTCGGTGATTCCAATGATTCCTGTCTGGTGTCCGCCTATTCCTTTCAAGTTCATCGGTTTCTCGGTTACGACCAATCCTAAGTTCTGCGCCATATGCTCCGGCATCAAATTCACCATCGATCCAGTATCCAATAAAGCTTCGCTATTGGTACCGTTGATACTGAGTTTAATATAACCTAGAGGGCAAGAATAGTGGGTTACTGAGAGTTTGTCTTCTTCGTTATTCTCCAGAGACGCATGATTGGAACTTTCATTCTCTTCCACGGGTACTCGTCTGTTCGAAATCTTCTTCTTGAAAACATCCACGACTCCATTCGAAATCACGAAAATTTCTCCATAACTCAGAGTCATTTTTCCTTCTGTCAACATGCGCTTCGCCGTTTCTTCTTCAACTCCTGGATATTCTTTCGCCAAAGTTTTCTCCAGGTGAGTTTTCTTTGCCGGTTTTTCTCTTTCTTCTTTCTCGGATCTTTGTTCCTCGAATCTAACCTTAGCGGGCACAGTAGTAGTTTTTGAAGGTCCTTGAGCGGATTTTTGAGCCGTTGCCTTCTTGATCAAATCCTCGGCGTCAATATCCATTACAGCGTCCTTCTCGACTCTTCCCTTCTTCCCGCTACCAGATTTTTCCGGTTCTTTTTCCGATCGTGTTCGCTTCCCCAAGTCCACATCATACGCCGCGTATTCTTCAACTTCACATTCCTCCAGTTCTCCAAAAGAGGAAGTGACCACAGCTGCAGTAGTTTTCTTCGATTTTTGATCAAATTTATCTACTTCGTCTTTAATGGCTCGACGCGTATCCCATGCAATCTTGGTGTTGTCTGGCAGAAGATAGTCTCGCCCTTCACGCTTTACTAGTCCTCGAGATTCATCAAAGGCAAATAGACTACATCTATTGCTACTGTGAGTATCCTGGAAGCAGTAGTAACACTTGAAATCTGGCTTCTTCAAGGGTACGTTGGTTGGAGCAGCTGAAGGTGGGAGATTTGCGTCCAAAGGTTGGTGCGGAGGTGCCATCTTTCCTGCTGTCAAAGAAGCTAATTGTCTTGTGAGGTCTTGAATCTTTTTCTCGTAGGATTCTGTTGGTGGTGCTGGTGCTGGGGGTCTGGGAATGGGATTTCTGGATGGCTTGACTGGTTCTACGTTGGTCTGTTCCAATCTTCCCAAAGATCTACGCTCCATTACCGAAGTTGACTGGACTTCTCTCTGGATATATTGAACGATAATCTTGGTAACTGGTAGAATATCGCCTCCATCCTTAGAAACGCGCATCTTATTATCACGGATAAGCTCCCGAGTGACAGCAGTTTCTAATGGTAGACTAAGAGCCTCCAACAACAATTCTCGAAAACCTTCCAAGTCAGAGTTGTATCCCATCCGAACCAAGTAGTGAGTGATCATTTCAAATTTCGACCGAAATATCTTAAACTCCTCCAAGGTTTGAATGCCTCCTTTCTTGGCAGCGGTGTTGACTAAATCCTTCAAGTCTTGCTTCGTATATTTCACCAGGGGCAGAGACTTTCCGAACCGATCCAACAATTGTTTCTTCAGCTCCTCCCACTCGACCGTCTCATATCCTTCCATCTCCTCGACCTCATCCTTCAAATCGCCTCCTTTTATAAACGAAATGATCTGCTTTGCCAAATCCGTCGCACTAGCTCCATCCGCTTCTCCCGCACGCTCGTAACGCTTAATAAATTTTTCTATCGGCATGTTCGTCCCATCGAAAAATAATTCCTTGTCTAACGGTTTAATCTTGACTACCCTTCGACTATCGGTTGGTCCTGCGTATTTAGGAATCTCTGGTTCTTTTTCGAGGAAATGGGTGTTGGATTCAGCTACTGAGTGATGAGACCAAAGATGGTTATCTGGAGTAATAGGACTGGGTTGTGGCATGTCTAATCTGGTGTCCAAAGGATGTATAAGGGAGCTTCCAGAAGAGGCTACGGATGGTTCTTGATGCTGGGTAAAGGCAGCGTTACCGACATTGATGAGAGGAGTGTATTCAGACATGTTCTCCTAATCTGTTATAAGGGTTCTTAATATTTTAAGGTGAGATTTGAGAAAGGTTCAGGTATTGAATAAGACTAGCAAAGGGAGTAGTATCTGTTTTTAAAGACTAAATTTATCTGGGGAAATCGGCCACTGTTGGGACGCCACTTGTGGAACTGCTCAGCAAGTGAGTAAAGAGCTTGGAGGGGATAAAATTGCTAATAAGACTATGAAATAGTAGAATTAGTATCTGTGTGTGGGTGAGACTGCCCTCCTGTCTAGCTTGCGGGAAAGTTACACTAAGAAAAATAAGAGTGTGGCTTATTTCTAAATTTATCTTAGTGTTGATTCTACTGTTATTGTTGCTTAAGAATACCTGTTGGAGAGGTAAGGAGTTTTGTGGGGTTTTCTGAGTAATAAGGGTTTCTGAAGGGTTTCTCTGTTATAAATTCTCTCTGGTCTCTGGTCTCTCTGGGCTCTGATAAAGGGTATGCTTATTTCTCTGATATCTGTTGCAAAAGAGTTGAGGATGGCTAAGCAATATCTCTGAATTACTTGTCTAGGGCCAAAATTGAGGTAAGGGAAGTTCAAGGGCTCTAATATTCTCTGGATCTCTTAATCAAGGGGTGATGAAAGCTGAGTAATATCTCTGATTACTATTCTGTAGCTAGCATGAGGAGGGAGAAAGGAAAACATAAGCCAGAGGAGCCTCTATTTATAGACAAATGGTTCTGCAGTACATGGGTTTTTGGCCTGAACACAAGTTCATCTGAGAAGGGTACTTCTAGAGTGGTTTTTACTACTCTGAGATGGCCTATCTGATATGAATTAATCTCTAAGTGCCTTTCTAATACAAGAGGTTGTAAATCTACTATATGAAGCCTATTCTTAGATTAATTAATATGAGAATGGTATTCTTAGACTATTTAGTATAAGAGTTATTTTCTAGAACTAGTCTGTGAAGTACTTTCTGATCAATACCTTGATTTACCAGTCTAAGATGGATGTAGTATCTCTTTATGTGTTTTTACAGTTTATTTGTATAATTATTATTCATAAGGATTTATGTATTTTAGGCCTGATTTGGGCTTTTATCTTAGCTATGTTTTAACCCAGTAATTATTATACATTGTATTCTATATTTTACCCCTTCTTCTCTAACATCTTAAACACTATTTATGTGTAATAAAATATTTTTAACTAGATCTATGGGTTTGATTAATCTCACCACACCGTTGGAATCAGCAGAGGGGAATTGTTCACTGGGAAACTAGGCATGATTAAGGTTGAAGATTTTCAGGAAGCAAGGCATTGAGTTCTAGATCCTTTGACTGACTGAAAAACCAAAGTCAATAGGGAGTTTTAGTGACAATGGGTCTCATAACCTGTTGAGGTGGACCAGGCTGAGAAATGGAAGTCACAGACGTGGGGTCTTGTGACAGGGACTGGACACAAAATATAATGATATTTAGATTCAGTGAGGATTCTGAGATGGATTGGTGTGAGCTAAGACTAAATACACAATTTTGTTTTGATAGAAGCATACACTAGATAAGCATCTTAACAATTGTCCCAGCTCAATGGCTAGTAGTGTACACACCATCTATATTGTCCTCCCAGCTCAATGACTGGTATTTACCAGCCATTGAGCTTAAACAAGACCCAGATCAATGGCTGGTATGTCACAGCCATCAAGCTGGGTCATCACTGCACTTGAGGGGTGGATGCAGGTAGGCAGTACCTGGGTACTGCCACATTTTCTTGAAAAAAAAAACAGAGCCAGGACTCCATCTGGGACCTTTGGTCAGGTGTCTGCTGAGTGACCAACAGGTGCCAGGTACCCAAGTAATATCTATAATCCAGGGTGTATATGTCATACACAGGCAGATACCAGGTGAAAAATTCAAATTTAGAAATCCAAGGTTTTGAAAAAATGATAGATGATCGGCCTTGAAAACTATGAATAGATGGAAAGCACAGAAGATTTAAAGACTCAAATAATGATAATTGAAAAAAAACTAGGTTGAAAGTGATGATTGTTATGGAGGAAAGACATCCTCCATCACCAAAGCTTGAAGATTCTCTTGTGCAAAAAAGTGTGCATAAGCTATAAGCCCTCTCCCTGTATGAAATTTCCCATTGCTTGCAGACTTGAACAGGCTACAGTACCCCCTGTCAGTGTCACAGCAGGTAAATGGTCTTCAAGAAGGTTGGTTATTGAACAATCTAACTAGGAAGTTTCAAATGTTGGACAGCCTTTTAGGAAATTTGAAGTACAGAAAAATACAGTTCCAATGGAACCATGGGGGGGGGGGGTTTAATGGAATCAAGAGGATAAATGAGTTTTATTTGTTTTCTGCTTTTGTTTGTTTGTTTTTTTTTCAGTTTTTTCAGTTTTTTCAGTTTTTTCAGTTTTTTTAGTTTTTTCAGTTTTTTCAGTTTTTTCAGTTTTTTTAGTTTTTTCAGTTTTTTCAGGTTTTTCTTGAAGCAGCTTGGAGTTCCTTTTTTTGCATCACATATTGGAGACCCTTCCATTTTCCATTTCTACATGGGTTTATGGCTGTGTATGGCTGTATTCACGCAGGTTCAGGTTGGTTTCCACATTGATCACTCGTGTGATCTGCATCATCATCACAGCACCATATGCAGACTTTCTCCTGGAGTTTTGTTTCTACATCTGATGTGGGGGCTCTAACTTGAGTAACTTGAGTTACAGGTCTAGTGTGCATGGCACACGTCAAACCCAGGAGCATTACCAGGGCAGCAGAAAGTGTGAAGCACTTCATGATGGTTGAGATGAGCTGAGTGAGGATTTTGGGTTGCAATTGCTTGGGATTGAATGCAGGTTGTGGGGATGTGTGATGAAGGTTACACTACAGATCTGCTTGCTGATAAGGCTATCTTCAGGGTGAGATTTGCTGTCATTTAGTTGGTTAAGTATCAAACTGGCCAGGTTTGATGTATCTCAGAACTGAAACTGTTCAACCAGCTTGACCACATCATTAAGCCATTAAAAAAGAGCGCTCTTGGCCATGAAATATGGAAGGCATGTGTGCGTCCCAGTTTAACTGGGATACCCTTGACCTAGCCAATCAAACTGACATTTTTTTTTTCTTTAGACCAATCAAAGTGATCAATCATCAACTAAAGATGGGTGGGGTGGGACAAACAATCTTAGGAGGTGTTCATCTGACTTTGATCCTCTCATGCCCTTCAAAAAGGTCAAGCCTTGCAGCTTATACGTTGCCAATATTCTTGCATTGACCTTCCTGTCAAAGCAGTACCTCTTCCCTGCCTCTGCAAGATCCATCAATCATAGATCTCCAAAGCCTCCAATGAGACAATAATTGTGTGATTTTTCCATCCAAAAAGCCTTCTATATCCTACCAGCAACACTGTCACAGATACGGTATCTGCCATGTATCACTATGTATCTGAGCCCCAATAAAAAAACCTATCTGACCAATCTGCTTTTATTTGCAAGGAGATTCAACAAATTTGGTTTTTGGCCATGTAGCTTTGCAGAATTCTCCATGATACATACAGTGTATCGTATCTGTGACAGTGTTGCTACCAGAAATGAGTGGTTATAAAGATTTAGCTTGATGATTCCCATCCAGTGGTTCCAAGGTTGCTGATGTTGTTTCACCAAGAAAGAATAAACATGGGTCCAAGGAATCGTTCACACTCAATGATTTTACAAGATCTATCTGAAAGCTCGATTGATGACAATTGCAAGCTTCCTATTTTCCCAAAGGCTGTACAACCTTGGCCAAGCTCCCATTTAAATGTGGTTGGGACTAATAGCGGGGTTTGAAAGTCGATTTTTGAGCAACATTCTACGTCACAACATCATCAAGTTCACAGAACTTTTGAGAAACGCTCTCAACAAAGAGGAACTGGATCTTTCAGAAAACTAAAATCTTGAACCTCTTCACTTTATGACTTCATCTAGAATCCTGTTCAAAAACCAACTTTGAATCCCACTATTAATTTTGGCAAGGCTGGATTGACCAAGTGTACACGTGCTGAAAGACCAAAGGTGCCTGACTGGAAGGTCAGTCGGATATGCTGTCTTGGGGTCATGCTTTGCAACCCATTGGATTTTTAACAGGTCTTCTGGCTGACAACAGGAGCAGGAACAATCAGCGTTTTTACCAAAAGGTATGTTTTTCTCTTTTTTTTGCGTGAATCACTACCTCATTCACTTGTAAATTGTAATCAGAAACCCACAGGACTGAGGATATGCTGATGAATGTGCTGGGAAAGTTTATTATCAAGAATCCACCAGTATAATCATCTGCTTCGACATGCACACACAGAGTGGTTGAGGGTTGATGAGGCCCAATGGGGTTCATGAGCACCACCCTTGGCCCGAGTCCAACAAACCGGATCGGCTCTCCAGATTTACTTTCAAGGAAGAAGGCCGGCACCTTTGATTATTAGCCTGGCAAGAAGCTCTTGGCTCTCTTCATCTCAACTCCATACTTCTTCACCTGGCAAAAGCTTAGATCAAGCCACCCAGTTTTGGTTTGATCACATCAACTCCAAATCATACTTTCCAAGTGAATAGTGATGTTTTCAAGCCTTCTGTTTACTCTCCCAAACTTGGCATCCAAATTTCGAGATTCATAGCAGTTCGATGTATTGAATGGTGATCACGATGATAATGACACCCTCATTGTCCTCAATCCGCCGTCTCCTTCCATACGTAGTTATGAATTGCAAGAAATGACAAGCGAGAAACACAAAATTCATATCCGTTCTTTGACCCATCCCTCCAATCCACCAGCAACGAAACTAGAAGGGAAAAAAGAAGAGTGCAGGACACATCAACATCACAGTTTTCATTTTTCGGGGCGGGTGGGTCAGAATGATTTCAAGGAGCTTACATTTCTTGAACAGAGTTACCAATCGGTTGAAGCTGAAAGACAGCCGGTTCTTTAAGAGATGAATGCTGAGGATCGAAGAGTTCGAGTTTACCAGACCTAGCATCCAGACTTAAATTCCAATGAGTAACGACTGTAGATCCATCTTTAGTTTGTCCAGCGAACTGTGTTTCCAAGAACCGGACGAGCTCTCTAGATTCCAGACAGACTAGCCCATTATTGATTGCGTTACGTTTGAAGATTTCTCCAAAACTTGCTGCGATTACTAATGGGATTCCAGCGTTCCTAAGCGCCGTAGCGGCCTGTTCTCGGGACGAGCCTGTGCCGAAGTTCCGTCCCACCACGAGCACTACGCCGTTCCCGGTGAGCCGGCTTCGGTGGGCTCGAGCTGTAAGATTCTTGTCGTTGGGAAGTGGCAGGGTTTCGGTAGAAGAAGAGGGGTATAAGTCTCGTACAGTCTGAGCAAATGAACGGTCATAGTTCTCCATCACTACTTCCGCCTGTTGCTCCGGTGTGATATCGTCCTGATAGGTGTATTTACCGGGATAGATCCCGTCGGTGTTGATGTTATCGGCGGGGGCAAAGACTAGTGGGCCTCCGAAGACGGCGGGGAAGTTGGGTAACAGAGGCTCAGTCGACTGGGCGTCGGCTTTGTAGGGCGAGGAGATCCTCGTCGGCTTGGGATGTTCGACGATCTTTATCTGAGGCTTGAAGTTGGAGGGATCGGAGGGGACAGAGGAGGCGTTTGGGCCGCAAATCTTGCCGGCTACCGCGCTCGCGGCCACAACGGCAGGACTGGCCAGATAAGCCTGTGCGAGGGGGTGACCCATCCGCCCCTTGTAGTTGCGGTTGGTCGCGCTGATCCCCACTTCGCCCTTCTCAAGCAGGCCGACGCCGAGCCCGATGCAAGGGCCGCATCCTGCAGGCAGAGTCTTGGCACCGGCGGCGACCAGGGTGGACCAAATACCGGCCCGTTCGGCTTCCATCTGAACGACTGAGGATGCCGCAGCGATGTAAAAATCTACCCCGTCTGCCACTCGCTTTCCCTTCATCACCTCCGCCGCCGCCGCTAAATCTGGAAGCCGCGAGTTGACACAGGAGACTAGATAGGCCTTTTGAATCGCGATCTCTCGGGCCTCCAGCTCAGGCAACGGAGTTGACAGCTTTACTGAGTTTGGCCCTGATACCTGTGGGACAAGTGTGCTGAGGTCGAGCGTCAGTGTCTTGGAGTAGTATGCATCCTCGTCCGCTCTGAGCTCTTCGCCAACACGCCCGAGAGCCTTGATCCTTTCGAGAGATAGACGGGGGTGTGAGGGAGGTGGGCCAGAGTGGGTCTTGATCTCCGCCAAGGCCTCCCGCTTCGCCAGGAGATCGTAGTACCACTCAATTAGCGTCTTATCGATCGGGAACACACCCGCCAATGCGCCCCATTCTGTCGTCATGTTCGCGATCGCTAGCCGTTCATCGATACTCAGCATCTTCACACCCTCGCCCACGAACTCAATCGCCGTGTTCAGTACCTCGTCTTGGTTGAAATTTCCGCATAGACCAACAATGATATCCTTCCCTGTCACGCCAAGTGGTAGTTGTCCTTTTAGTTCCACCTTGACGATCTCTGGTACTTGCCACCAAGTCCGCTGTGTAGCCCAAATCGCCCTATCGAATGCACATTTTGTTTTCAAATTGAGTAAGAAATTGAATTCTCCTGAGGGTGGGGGGGAATGCTCTGCTCTCACGCTGCGTCTGTCCTGACTACCGGGGTACCCACACAACCTATCCCTCCGTACATGTTACTATGGGAATCGGATGCTGGTTTTTTTTTTTTTTTTGAGGGGGATGGAGAGAGTTAAGGGTTGCAAAATCAGTAAGTTGGTGTTATCTTTACGGATCATGCACATGAGAGTGTGGGAGAACATACCGACCATGAGTGAGCCAGGAAAAGCGTATCCCTCCTCAACCATAATTTGGTGCTAACTTGGGAAGTTGAATGTTAAATTAGAATTTTCCAGTTGTGATGATGATGATGATGATGATGAGGGAGTAGAAGTGAAGGGAAGACTGACGCCGATACCCCTTCCTGGGGGGAAGAAGTCGACATCCTGTAGATGAGCAAAGGCCTCTATCCTAGAATATTTCTTCAAGTTTTCAGGAGATTTATTCTGGACGTCATGGTCGATGGTGAAGACTGGTTGACGAGGGTTATCGATCTTTGAAGCTCCGATCGATTTGAATTTGTTGATGACTGGTGAGGTGTTGTCGTGGGTCATGACATGTTCTGGTTTGAGCACGATGAAATCTCCTGATCTGATCCTCTTGTTTGCTGGTTGTTGGTAAGCATACTTCTGTACAATCTTCTCGATCAGTGTCTGTTGGTTGCTACTTGTTGACTGGCCCCGTCTGAGTTGCTGTTGCTGTTGCTGTAGTAGTGGTATTCTCGTTCTGAGTTTGGTTGAAGTCAATCTGAACATCCTGGCGGTTTTTGTTGGTGGTAAATGCTTAGTAGGAAGTTGGCCACCGGAAGCTTTGTCGAGAGGCTGAAGAAGAATTTATTCAATATGGCATGTCAGATACCCAATATGCGCAGTGATTTTATTCAATACCGTCGGACTTTATTCAATATGACAGGACAAAACAAAAATATACCAGGCTTGGGTATCGGTGGACTCGATCGGAAGAGAAGAAGGAGGAGAGAGAACCACCCCACCATGTCATTCAACTCGACCAGATCAAGACTAAGCTCCGTCAGAAGAGCCTCAAACGCACTCATCCAACAGAACAGTAACAGAAGAGACAGACTGACCAGACTAGCATACTCAACCAACAAGCAATCATCATCATCATCAAAACAGGATAAACAGGATGACAACCTACCCGCCGGTGTATCCCCTTGGGCTAGATTCATGGACGTACTCAAATCAGAATACGCCAAGAGTCAAGAGATACAGGTCAGTCATCAATCAATTCCGAAAAACAAAGTAAAAGCATGAACAAAGACTAAGATTGATTCAAGAGCTATTATAGGAAAACGTCCGAGAGTTAACGGGAACAGCACAGGGAATCAAAGACTCCGAGGCAGCACAAAAGATGAGGAAGGCCTACACAGCCATGCGCCTAGAGAGTCTGATCAAGGAGAACCCGCAGTTAGCACGGATGGCGAAGAGCTTGAGTAGTACGGGCAAATCGGTCTCAGAGGCGGTCAACAAGGCGGCCAACGAGATCGAGGAGAGTCGACTGATTCAGACGGCCCGTCGGGTGACCAAGGAGCTCGACAGGCGGATCGCCGAGCCTATCCGTCAGACAGAGGTCTACAAAGTCGTCGAGGATACCGTCGATTTCTCGCAGGGCGCGCTCAGATACGGCGGCTACATCGAAAAGGAGGAACGGATTCGGAGGCGCCAGAAACGGCTCGATCGGCTCGCCAAAGCTAACCCCAACTCGTCTATCATATCTGCCGCCAAGGCTGCTCCTCTACAAAACTCTTCCTCTTCCTCATCATCGCCATCGCCATCGCCATCTGCATCTCCATCGGATGCTCCACCAACACCGGAAGAGTCATCCTCAAGCACAACTGTCGAGGGATCCCAAATAGCCGAAAATCCGAACGCCCCGCCGGCATTAGTCCTACATGCGACGGCGAACGAGGAGGCAGCAGAGGACTCCAGCACTATCGGATCACGGATGAAAGGCACACTGACGGGAAGCGGGCTGAGGGAGATCTGGAAGAATGTGCAGGAAGGATATGCGGAGTCGGAGAACCCAGTGGTCGCCTCGATCCGCTCGGTCACCGGCTTCCTCCGCAGGAACCTGCTCGACGAAACCGAGACGGCGAAGGTGATCAGACTCGTTAAGGAGGTCGACCCTGCCTTTAATTACGATGCCTTCCTCGCTGATCTGCGCGAATTCATCATCCCTGATTTCGTCGACTCCTTCGTCGATAACGATCTACAGGCTCTCAAGATGTGGACCTCAGAGGCCGTAAGTAATGTTTTATTGATAAATAATGCAAAACAACTATTGCTTTGTTTTGGAGAGATCAATAATGTTTTTTTTTTTTTTTTGCTTCTGTGCTAGGCTTTTAACGTCACCTCTGCCCCAATGAAAATGTATTTACAAAGAGGACTGCGACCGGCAAACCAGATCATCGACTTGAAAGGAATTGATGTAAGTTTTTTTGTCCTTGGTCTTTATTTAAACGAGTCCTATACGTCTGGGCTCGCAGTGAGTGCAATCTGACTGAGGAACGATTGGACAGATTCTGTCGGCCAAAGTGTTAGAGGAGCGGGACCTACCGGTGTTCATAGTAGCATTCAAGACCCACGAGATCAACTGTTACATCAATCCGGCCAAGCGGGTGTCGGCGAAAAGCAAATCATCCATTGAGGAGGAGAGGGGCGAATCGGATGGATACACGGTCGAGGTGGGCAGTCGGGAAGAGATCCAGGTGGTGCAGTACGTCGTCGTGCTCACCAAAGACGCCCTGCTCAACGCGTCCACTTCGACCACTAAGGAAGAAGAAGAGGACGAGGAGCTCGTCAATGAACAGGACGGCCCTTCCAAGCCGCATCACAAGAAACCTTCTTCCACTGGCTCGTCTGGTCTTGGGCCCAATCAATCCGCTAAGGACGCCAAGGATGCTCCGGATGATTCGACTATCACCGGGGGCTGGAAGATCATCGACTTGGCGCGTCGAAGCTCGGTCGCATTCTTATGATCTCTTTCATCTCTTTCATCTCTTTCTCTTCACGCAATCCTCATAATATAAATATACCCTCCACTCAGTCTTCTTTTTTTTCCTGTTTGGACTTCAGTAAGGCAGTAGTTTGGTCATGTTTTATGAAATGAAAACGAGGTGTCTTTTGGAATTCTCTCAACCCATGGGTAAGTAGTGGTGGGGTGAGGTTCAAAAAACATATGTAAAGATAGGGTGACGACTCATAAGGCCCTGGTATATGAATGTGAGGAAGAGGTCAACCTGCTCCATATATTCCTGTTGAGGGAAGTGGGTAAGTTAGTGTGTGTGAAGGCCAGTGATCTCAGTAGGGGCGAAATGTAGCTGAGCTAATGCTGCACCGGACCTCACCCACCTGATTGATAAATGAGGGCAAAATGATCATTGCACAGATCTAAATACACATGGCCGGCATTCTCATTCAATCAAAACTAAGTACTTTTTTTGGATCTACGTATGTAGGTGCACAAACTTTACACTGTTGTTTATACAGTAATATTCAAGCTGAGTCCTTGGGTAATTACAGAATCGTTCTATTCTCATGCTCAAGCTTATGGTATAAGGATACGCGATTTTTGGTTTTTTGTTTTTTTTTTCTTTTTTTGGTCGAAAATGATAATAATGGATAGTCTAGGATATCAACATTAAAGCAACCCGAGAGATGAGAGAGATAAGTTTAGTTTTACAGAAAAAATCAAAACAAAAGAAAGGAAAGGAAAGAAACCTGTTGAATGATTATCTATCAAGCGAGTTATTTTCGATGCCAAAGGATAGGAAGAAGGAGATGAGGGAGAGGAGGAGGTTGAATTTAAAGACGCTTTTGAGTGCCAATTTGTAGCTTTCGATCGCGCCTTGTTTCCAGATTCCCTCGGGCAAGCTTTTCACTAGTGTTGACTCGTGTCGGATCCGTTCAATCAACTTTTTTTGGTTAATTCCAGGGGGGGAAGAGAAGAGAAAATGGTGGCAAAGTGGATTCTGTAAGGAGCTGGAAACTCGTACAAGGAAAGAAAGCAATGATCGTTTCCTTTTTCTTTTTTGGAAGAGACTTACCTCAGTGGCCCCTTCACCAACGATTCTGTGCTTGAGTTCAGTGGTCAAGACTGATTGAAGGATCGCTCCACTCTTCAAGAAGAACAGAATAAATCATTCAAATATTTGTAATGAGCAACTGTAGTATACCGTAAGAATAGGGAGTACACTCAACTGCTGCAACACCAATGACGACACCATTGTATCTGAATAAGTACGATAGACCCGTGCATACGGCCATATCCTTCTCAGGAACCGATGCTATTAAGGAAACTGGTATAGGTTATGTTCAATGTCCACTACCATCAACAGCCTGCAACACATTGACATATTCAACTTACTGAGAACAGCAGTCGTGCTTGCCGAGAAACCGAGTCCATTGGGTATCTACAAATTTCCAAAGGATTTCTCTGTTTAGATCGAGTTATGTGTTGCATAAAAAAGAGATAGAAAAAAAAGAATCATCCAAGTGGATAAGCTAGTATGTAGCTCACAATATCTATCCATTCATGAAGCGGCGAATCCAGTTTGAAAAGCATGAGGAGCGAGCCAAGTAGTAAGAGGGCTGAGCTGATGAAGATCACCATCTTGTGTTGGCCGGTTTTAAGGATCCAGCCTCCAGCCGCAAGTGAGCCAACCGAGAGTGCAACCGAGTTTGGAATCAAGTGGAGCCCTGCTTCCGTCGGGCTGCTTAGCTTGACTGTTTCGAACCACAACGGATACATGTATAGCACCCTGATATTTGTATCGAGAAGTGTTGATCTCAGTCAGTCTATCCACTCCTGAAGGGCATCAAAGCTCTGATTCAAACGATCGTCCGCCAGTAACTTACGAGAAAACAATCATACTGGAGAGATGATTCAGAGACAGAACATCAATCCGTTCTCCGATAAATCATTGGCACTGTGATATTGAGATAACCGCGATCAAGCAGAAGAATCCCGGCGCACCTGGTGAAAAAGCTGATGCCGACGCTACAAAGTGGGGTGCGAAATTTGAGCAGGCGGAGTGGCAGGACGGGCTCGGGGACCGACGATTCGATGTAGATGAAGACGGCTAATCCGAGCAAAAACCCGATAAAGTTTCCATAGACTCGCGGATCGGTCCACTAGGAATTCGACGGAAATAGATTTTAGTCTGCAAGCGTTCGTCGGAAAAGTGGGTGGGATTTATGGATGAATACCTCATACTGAAGATTGCTCTTGAAGCTCAGGGACAGCAGTAAGGCGCCAATCTGTGTGTTCACAAAAAAAAAACGAGAAATCGCGGATTCTGGTTAACTAGAGTGATGGTGTTGTAAGGAGATGATTTTTGAATCAGGCCATACCATCCAAACCAGAGCGATACTGCCGCGATAATCGATTCTCCTAGCTAGTTCGGCTTTGCTAGTCACTTGTCCCTCCAATTTGTAGTCAACGAAAGAAGCCACAAGGATGGTGGCTATGATCAGAAGAGGGACCTGGGCTGGAATGGTGATTTGAATGGAAACGTCAGAGAAGATTTCCATGAAACCCGGAAGGAATGAGATCCGGCTGGGGTAGTAAGTAGTACATACCTAAGAAAGCGAACCTCCAGCCCATCGTATCGGCGATCCAGCCACCCAATGGACCTCCGAGAGCAGCACCGAGCCCGAAACAGATATTGGCAAAGCCTTGGACCAATCCACGTTGATCGAGTCTGAATAGATCGGTAGCGATAATACTACTGGTCGTCATGATCCCACCGCCCCCACAGCCCGCCAGGAATCGGGAGAAGATCAATTGGCTCATGTTGCTCGATAGCCCACAGCCAAGCGTTCCTAGGGTGAAAAAACCTAGGGCGATCAAATTCGACATCCGACGGCCGAGCAAGTCTGCTAGTTTTCCATAGAGTGCTCCGGTGGCTGAGGTTGATAGGAGGTAGGCAGATGCCAACCAGGAGAGCTGATTTGAGGCATCAAAACTCGAGGATATCGATGACATCAATGTGGCGACGATCGTCGAATCCAGCGCGCCTAGGAAAACACTGAAGTATAGAGACGCAAACCATCATCAGCCTCTCTTCAATTAGATCTCTGTCTACATGTCTGTGTCTGTGTTCTTTCTACGATTGATTCCAGATTGGATCGGTTTGACGGATCGACCAATGATTATTGATTTACCCGGTCCATACTGCAGCCAAGATGGCAGCCCTCTTCTGAGGGGTGACGAGTTGGTTTAAGCGAGGAGTCGGGATGGTCGGGCCTGGAAGAGCATGAGCCGAGCCTTGGACCTCTATCTGTACCGCATTACAATCTTCCCGTTCCGAAGGACTGATCGTCGGCCGAGCTGGGGTTGTAGTGTCGGTGGCCAGGAGTGGGGTGGTTTCACTCGGAGACATGTTGATAATTAGGAAGAACTGTGTAGATGAACACTCGATAATTAAATCCCTTCTGCCGGTCAACAGTCCACCTGTGATCCACTAATTAAAACTGTTTTTTGTTTTTCTGAATTCGGGCAGGCTGTAATGTCCTCCCAGATGATCAATCTTCTGATCCCGTTGGGGCGATCTTCCGGCTGGGAAACTTTCTTCCTTCCTCTTCATCCATCATCAAAAAACCACTGACTGAAAAAAAAAAATACAAACATCAACACCGGCAACCCTCCAGCAGGAAAACGTCTTACGTCATATTCAAATTGCGCAATTTATAGTCCCGCTGGTAGATACATGCAATCTGCTTGACCCCAGTCAGCATACATCTTCACCCCACCGGCCCGGTGAAGATTCGCTGCCTGCAAGCTAAAAACACCGTACCTCCAAAAGGCTATCATGGCGGTTCCAGTCATGCTGCTTAATTTCAGGCAGAAAACTCCCAAACCAACTGCACCCATCTTCTGTATAATCTTTGGTCAAACCGCGGCTGGATATCAAACCATGCTTTCTTACAGATTCCTATTGATCAAGGACTTGGACAAGTGATCAAAGTCCCAGTGAGGATCTGGTTCTCAGGAAGTTCTCAAACACACTACAATCTTAAAATATGTACCAAGTCTCACTTGAGCTTGTTGAAATCCAACCAAAAAGGTCCGGATGATGGAAGCGAATTGATGAGGAGTGCTTGCCAACACTTTCATGTGAGATGGGCCCTGGATACGTCTGCATATATGTCTTGCGCACCCATCGACCCACCAAAGCTTTCCAAAATATTGCGCTTGCGGAACTTGATCAACTTGCTGGTTTGGTGGAGAGACTGCAGCCTCAGCCTCATGGTGCTCACACCGGAGACGTGCTCATCCAACGTTTGCAAGCACATATACCCTGTCTATGGCATTCATACGCACAGCCTGTTGTTGATGCCTAGGCCAGTGTCTAATAATGTCTTACGCCCTCTCCGACTGATGTTTCTTTCAAATCGTGTTTCCCTTCCTTCTTGCCTCCAGCGCCTTTCAGGCTTTCTCTTTTTCTCCTGTGGCGGAGTACTCTGTATATAAGAAACCCTGGCTAGATCCCGTAGTCCGGGTACCGCTCCCTCTTGTAATCGGCCATCTTACCCTGACTGAGAGATGCAGGCTGGTCCTACAACATCCTTGATGTATATAAAGCTGCTTGATTGTGCCGCTTTTAGCTTAGCAGTGTGAATCACCTCTTCGTAGTAAAGATTTATTTCCTTGCACAATATAACATCTAAAAGAATTGCCAAACTTCCTTCCAAATCTTCAATCTTTCTTGATCTCTCCCCACTGAAACCACAGGCCTTCATCATCATGATGAACTTGATCAAACTCGCCATAGCTCTCATCATCAGTACGGCTTTCGGTCTCGTGGCAGCTAGCAACGTCATCGATTTCTATACTGTCGAGTGGAGGAGTTTCGGTTGTGACCCTTCAGAGGTAGCGCTGTGCATTGTGACCCGGTACAAGAAGCCGAATGACCGAAGCTCTGGTCCGGATTTTTACATTCGTGAGCCTTATCTTCATCCGAAGCGCAAATCATCACGGATTTCTAACAAGTGTTAACTCAACGGCTTCTTTATGACAATTTGTGATCTGGTGTATGTTCCAGTGGACGAAGCTGTGAGGGTCAAACCGGGCTCCTACAACTGCGGCATGACGACTGCCAAGTGTTGTGGCACCAACTTGGATTATCGGGCTATCCAGACCAGAGTGAGTGTGCCCTCGGTCCGCCATTCATCACATCCACCTAAGAACTGAGCCTTATTCTGTCCCGGAAAAATCCTACAGAACTCCCATTTCATGAAAGATACTACCGATAGGTTCTGCCCAAATAGCCCCCATTATGTCGACCCCCCAAAGAAGCCAAGAACACGCCAGTGATTCTGCTTGTCTGGCCTATACACACACACTTCATCTTGTATATTTAGTCAAGATCCCGACCTGGATTTCTTGTTGAATACTTTGCAGTCTGCTTTCTTTTGTCTGGAACATTTGTATGAATGTGTTTTTTCCTGACCTGTGGCTAGCTTAACAAAGCCTCTGGAGGAGTGGGTCTATTTGGACATAGCAGCATGTCTCCCACCCGTGGGGACTTGGGTTAAGATGGGAAGTATGGTGTATTCACGAGGTTGATGAGCTTAAAGGCCCCCTGATCCTACTCTAGTGCCATTGAGAATTTGAATTGGGCCAATTGGGCCCTTTTGTAAACAAACAAGATACATCCAATTTTTACTGTTTGATTATTGGGCCCCATGGTTGGGTCAAGGAATCAAGAATAATAAGTACTGTGAAATCAGTTGAAATCTTGATTGTTGCAGCCAAAGTATTCCTATGTCTCAAGAAAATTTTCTCACACCTCATAGAGTGTTTTACAATGGCCATACATACTCCAGAAAAACACATATCACCAATTATTTTGCTCACTACTGCACCAGGAAAAATCAATGAACACTTGATGACATTGACAAGTGACATCAAGCTGACTCCAAGTCTGTAGTTTACTACCCATTACATATCCAGCTCAAATCTGCCTCAGCCCCCTGTAGCACACAAAGGGGTCATTGCAGTTGGGTCACAACAGAGTTAGAGCTACATGGGAGCAGCAATCAATGTTACATGATGTCATTTGACATCTGGTGAACATAGATTTTTCCTGGTGCTGTGCTGTAAGAGTTGCAACTCTTCACTACTCTTATGGTAACAGTCGGGCACAGGTGATGGGCCTGAAGTTTATAGAACCAAAGAAAAGGGGTTTTGTTATTTTGAGAAGCTATTCAATGGTTAAGAGAAGAACTTTCATGAGTATAAAAAGCCAGGAATAAAATCAGAACTACTTACCTAAATGTTTGAGAGAAGAACTCTGCTGTTTGGATGGAAGATAAGAGACTTGACTATTTATGTACAAGATGATTAAGTAATTTGGTTGTTATGGCCTTGTGAAACTTGTGAGATGAGAGGGGTCTCACATGTGCATATTCTGAGCTCTTAATTTTAGGTAGCAAGATGCTGCTTTGAGTAAGCATAAAAGAATTCACAGGGCAGGAAGCAAGAAATACTATGGCGAACCCCCCATCAATACAACAAATGGGGTTTTACTGTTTCCTTAGTTTTGTTTTATTTTTTTCATTTTACCTGTTGTTGTTTTTTTTTTGATCTGGAACATCATAGCTATGGACATGATGTTCAGACGTTAGGGATTTATGTCCATTTCTGACCAAGTGGCAAGATTTGCTGTTGAAGTGATGTTAATCTTTAAATGAAAACTAAAACATAAAATGGAAATCCCATAAGTTCAAAATATTTTTGCTGTGTTTCAATCCAAGCATTCTTCAAAAGACAATAATATAATAATTATCGGTCATTGATCTGAGTACTCTATTTGCCCTCTCAGTATATTGAGGGAACAAATTTCCTTTGATTTTTTTTTGACAGTTTTCTCTAATTAGTTTATTTTTTGAATTTAAAATCACACCATCAAAAAAAAGCAGTCAACTTTAGTCTTTCACACATGAAACCCCAAACAAACTGAAGAATGAAGAGTTTGAATCATACATCCCAAGTCAATACATCCTGGGATTCCCAGTCTTGGCCATCACACCTTAGGCTCAGTGCAATCCTTCCATGACTTCATGGAGGTTGTATGCCAGCCATGTCCAGGTACATAATTTGTATAGTTTGATCGACACCATTCAACTTCAGGGCACAGTATGACTGAGTTCTCACATCTCAAACCATACCAGTTGGTTGGATTTTTGGTTTAGTGGTGTGTTTAGAGCTCCTAAACTGTTCTGGTGTAAGATTCATCTCCTGTAAATTAACAATCCTTGGACACATGAGACAAGCACTATTTTCTATAGCTGGAGAATCAAACATGATGATGAATATAGATGCAATCATTCCACCTCATCAAGTTCACATCTTCCAAATGGACCTCACTGCTATTTTTAGAAGGCTCTATGGCCTATCTCTGATTTTCTTCTTTTCAGCTGTTCCAGGGACCAATTCTTTCACAATAGAGCTGCCTGGGTTGGTAGACAGGCCATTTGTCACTTCACAGTCATCAGATAGGCCATTTGTCACTTCACAGTCATCAGACATGCCATTTGTCACTTCACAGTCATCAAGAGAAGGCAAACTAAGGATTTCTTTGTTGACATGGCCTATTCCAAAGATCTCCGCAGAATGTTTGGAAAGTTCATTCCATGATCAGCTTCATTCCCTGGGAGAACCTGGCGGCTCAGATTCTTCAGGCAAAGAACCTACTCTGAACCCAATCTGCTCTTTTCCCCAAGAGATGTTACTTGAGTATGAAAACTATATAAACCAAGTCAATCATAGTCAAGGGCAGCTTTCTTCATTGGTTTCATCTCCTTCTAATTTTCTGGCAACCACTGCCCAATACCTCACTGCTTCAAGTTCTAGTCCAAGTAAGTGTTCATGTTTATTTTTTACTTTGTGCAATTACATAGTTCATTTGTGAAGGCAGATACAAGCTCACCAGGAAACATTTGCTTATCTAACCATGGCTTTTCCAAGAACATGATGAAAACTACAATGAAAAAGCCAATTCTTTTCAAACACCTACAACTGACAATAGCTCAATCATGGGGATTCTAAGCCAAATCACTCCAAAAATCCATGTCAATCAAGGCAAGTAGTTTGGTTTATCTGAGCTAAATCAGGGTTGATGAAGCTTACTAAGTCTAAACAGTCGGCCGTAGAACTTCCCAATCTTCTCCAAAGATATCAAAGAAAAGACCACTCACTGAATATCTGAAACAAAACAAACCAAATAGTAACATTCAGGAAAATTCTTCTATTGCAGCATTCAATTCTATTGCACTCCTCAAGGATTTCTATGATGAGTTTGTCCAGAAAGTCCGTTCTGATGAAGTAATAATGAAAGGAGGATGTGGTAAAAGGATTCCGCACCAACATTTTCGGATTGGTATATTCCGTCGGGCCAGAAGCAAACCTGGAGTTGTACTGCGAGTCCTACTAGCTTCAGAGAATGAAGCTCAAAACTACTTTGTTTTGATTAAAAAGTACAATTGCCTGATCAAATGGATTTATATGCTGCATGGAAATCTGTTGAATGGATTGAGCATTCCAACTTTCATGCACATGCCTCGACAAAAAAATCTTTTGCAGTGGTTAAGCAGTGCAATATTTGGGTGTGAAAACAAGGCCAAAATTCCAATCATGGGGATAAGAAAATCAGCAGAAATGAAATGGACAGAGAATGACAAATTTTGCAACTCTCAGTTGAAATTGATAGAATACTTCTCAGAAGATGAAACAGTATCTAACTTGGCACCCAATACTGCACAATATCTGATAGAAAACTTCCAAGAACAAGATCCAAGTGAGTAGAGTAGATCTTCTGGTCTAAGATAAATTTATACAGTTACTGATTCATAGAAAATCTATAATACTCTTTCATCTATGCACTATATGTTTGGATCAACCTGTTCCAAAACCAGTCATTATCCCAACTGAAACCAATGGTCTGGAAGATTTTGTCAAGGTCTCTCCATGTAAGAAGTTCAAAAATGACATGGGAATCTTATTGAATGCGTTCAAAGAAAGTGCTATACTTGATGAATTGTTTTATTCCCACAATTGGAAGATCAAGGATGAGAATTTTTCAATCCCAGCATTGATCTCAAATTTTGAATCTCAATACAAAAATCCAAACCTGACCCATAAATATAGAAGCATACATCCTAAACTACCAATTTCAATTTACTTTGTGAATGAAAAATCAGAAAATCAACATATTCAAGTATTGAGCTCCCAATGGGGGAAAAGGATTATAACAATTCCAAAGATCTTCTTCAAACTGAAGAAGTTGGTGGCAGCAATCAATCACATGCAGCTCAGTGGTTACCAACATTTGAACATAAATTTTTATGAATATAACAAAAGAATTACAAGTATGTATGAATGGCTGATCACTAAAGTATTCAAGCCAAAGGAAGGTCTGCCTTTGGTTGGGTATTGTCCAATCAGTACAAGAAGGGTTGCTCCTTGGGAGAATGAAAAAATGAGGGATGTCAAATTATTTGATATAGTTCAATTGCAATTGATGAAATATCTTTCTGAAGAAACTCCCTTCATTTTAAAAGAAACTGCAGCTTTTGTTCTGACAGCTTGGTTTCAAGACAATTTCAAATCAGTAATATGAAAATCATTAACCTAATAATCAATGTAGCTTGGCTACCATCCTCAAAGTGATTTAGGCCCCATTGTGGTGAGCCAAATAAAAAAAAATCCTTCTATGCAGAGCAGAGTCCAGACACACCAACACATAGGACATCATGGCACACCTGCAAGGCTCTGGGAACTAGGATCAATACTGAAGTAGAATGTGAGCCAAAGAAACCCCCAATCAAGAGATCCAGGGTACCGCAAATCCCCTAGGATCCTCATGTCTTGGCTCAATCCATTCCTACTTCTACATCTGCTATGCACCCAGTCCTCCTCATCCCATTTGGTACCATATTTAAATTATCCCTTGTACTAGCCTTTTATTATCTTTTCAGTTTCACACTAATGAATCCAATTAGGGCTTAGTACTTCAGTTTTAGGCTAATGCTTCCGCAATGGGACTTGGTCAACTTATTTCACTCTAAAAATATTATGCTCCACACTAATGCAACCCTCAAACTGCCTTATCTCTCATTTATCACCTTGGAAGAGTGTCTCAGTTCTTCTTCTCATTATCTAATACTCTATGAAAGAGGCTCTCCTCTGGCCCATTTCTGTTTCTGCTCATCAACTCATCTACTTTTCAGATAGCAGCTTGGTCAGTTAGTTAGAAAATATTTGTTATAAACCATACCTACCAGGAATAAACAGTAGCCAGTCAGCCATTACTACCAAAATTGTTCATCTACATGATATTATCCCATACCTCATTGCCACACCTCTCTTTGAGTATATTAAGTCATTTCTAGTCTATTAATATTAATCCTCAGCTTTCTACACAAAGGGAAGCCTTTTCACACACCTATTCCCTTCAATCTCCATTCTATCCCACCAATTAGTTACACACTGATTGGATGGTTTGTTATACATCATAAGGAGCCCCCTTGTTATACCCAAACTCTGAATAAAGTCCAGAACCCATGGAGGGGGGGGGGGGGTTGCATGTCATGAATGTGACAATTTATCACAGACCATCCAAGCGGGAACTTATGAATCCTGGAACCAACATAGACAATAAATTTAATTTAGATTGATTATTATTATACATTTTGAAACTTCCCTCTTCCCTGAGAGGAATATGTATTGCCACAATGATGGGCGGCACCTTGAAAAGAATTGCTCCTAATTAACTAAAAAAATTGATGAAATTCATGTTTGTTAAGTCCCAGTGGAATTTAATATCAAACTAGGTTTTGAGGGTGGACATCCTAGATTTTTTGTTCTGTTGATTTTATTTTGTCACTGATGGTTCCAGGTAGTACCCCACAAAATGAACCAGTCAAGTGTTGGTAATAAAGATAATATGTAGCTGAGAGAGGTAATTTAATTTCTCAACAAGGGAACATTAAAAAGGAAATGAGGGATTCAGACACTGATATGGTTTTGATTTCATTTATTTTTTTTGAGCATGTTGAAATTCTTCTTCTCCTATTGAGGGGTAAGTGGTTCTGTCCAGAAAGAGGGATCAAAGACAAATCTGACAAGAACAACAGATGAGGTAATTACATGATTACATAGGTCCAGGTCTCAAAAAAACAGGAGAGGCATTTTTTGGTGGTTTTCCCAATGAATGGTTAATGGGTAGGAGATGCTCATTGACTTTGAGGAAAAAAGGTATGGATCTGGACTGGCCACTGACTTGAAAGATCACCCAACACAAGCAATCCAACGGTGTTCACAGGGGTTGCACTATGGAATATGACACGATTTGTTCCATTGTTCCTGTGAGACTATTCTGTCACCACATATTCTATGCATTTATGAAATTATGCACCTCAATTAAACAGGTCCAACCAAGTCATTTATGATTTTATGTTTGAATTGGCATACCCCTCATGTGTCAGTGTGAATGGTGTATGTAATGACCCTGCAATCTCTACACATATATCTATATGTTGGCTAATTGGCTGACTTTCTGTTGCATCTGGGGCCCTCCCGGTTTTCAACTTGGACCTCAAAAGTCAAGATTTTCACAGGGAAATCTACATTTCAAGGCCCTAAGTCAAATCTGGGGGACCCACAGATTTTGATGGGAAGTCCTCCACTGTTAGTGTGACTGGCCAAGTGATGACTTGGGTGTACTTGTATCTAGCAATGCTTGGTTAGTCCGGTACTATGTTAATTGTTTTGTGAGTTTTACACCTAGCAATTTCATGTACATAATTAAGGTTCACAAAGTATCCAATGTATGAGACCTCCACTCAAATTATCAGCTCAGCATAGGTGAATAGATGTGGTTTAAAAATGAAATCCAGTGTACCAAAGAGAAAAAAATGACTAAGTTGAATGAATGTGGTTGTCAATGTGAGAGATGAGTTGATGTGCTAGATACAAACAATGAGGATAAAAAAAGTACATATGAAAAACAGCAAAGGGGAGGGAAAGGTTGAGAGATAGATAGATTAGATGACAAAATAATCAAGACGGCCTCCAAAGAAACGTCAGTGGCTATGTGTAACAGATAGTTCAGGAGGTGGATTCAAGAGGTACATCGCCAAATATTTCCTGAGGTAGTTATCAAGTCATTGAGAGGAGCTAGTTGAACAATACGAAATCCGACATATGACTGATGAAAAGGGAGGACGAGGTGGCAGGAAGAACGATATGAATATGATGGGTGTATGTGTGTACAATCACTCAATCGCCTTTTCGGTTGGCAAATCCTTTTCGTTTGAAAAGGGAGGTGCTGATGGAAACATGATCGAGTCGTCGGAGATGTTGTCTCGAGGTTTGATGCCCACTTGGTTGACGTCGAACCCTTGGAGTTGTAAGGAGGCATAGAAGTCGCGATCAATAGCTTTCATGTGATCCTCCTCCAACTCGACAACGGTGAACCACATCACGGCTGCAGAGAGCGCGCAAAGACCACTACCAACCCAAAACGGCTGGATTGCGAAATGAAGATATTGACAATACAAAATGTCAATTTCGTGTGTCAATGAAGAAGAGATCTGGTAACACTGACCCCTGTATCTTTGGTTGCACCTTCTGGGAAGGCATCTATCAGTACTGGGAAGATCCATGTACCAGCAAAAGCTCCCAGCTTGCCGACAGCAGCAGCCGAACCATCTGGGAATTTGAAGTGTAGCGGGTCAACGAAAATTTAAAGTTATGAATCTTTGCAAAGATACGATGACTTACAAAATATCCCACGAATAGACGCAGGGCTTGACTTTGCTGCCAACATGCCCAAACAGTTACCCCTAAAGTGATTAGATGATGGTCAATGGTTTGTCAGAACACAAGGGGAGGAAGATAGGGATTGGTTGAAGAGATAACCAAGCAGATGTTCAACTTACGGGCCGGCTTCACCAAAAGACAAGAAAAGACCGTACATCACTGCGAAGCCGCCGATATGCTTTGTCAAATATTCATCTGATTAAGATTCCAATGATCAGCATGCGGTCGTCAAGATTGTGAAATGGGGATATCTCCACGCGAAGTTTGAAGCGGAACAAATCGACTTACAAAAGCCAGACATGAAAAATCCAAAAGTCATTTGCAACAGTAGGCAAATTGTCATGAGCGTTTTTGGTCTGATCCTGTCCACCAACAGCGCGCCGATTATGGAGCCAGGAACGTTAAACAAGTTGATCACGACATTCCTGAATAAAAATTGACGATCAGGACAATTTCTCATGGTAAAACAGGAATTTCGCGCTGGAAGGAATTGATCGCACCATCCTAGGACGATTGTCAAGTCGGCAGACTTGCCAGTGATAGTGTCAACAACGGTAGAGCCGTAGATGCCGAAAGGATATGTGATGAAGTCTGTCGGATATGACTGTGATGCTCAGCTTTTTGACACGTGATTGGATGAGCAGAACCCACAACGTACCATAGATGAACCATCCCAGACACAAACCGAACCATTGCCACCCAAACTTCCGAAACAAGAGCTTCCATGGATAACTGTATATGGGCTGTACTTAAGCGATCACGAACTCGGGGATATTTTGGAAAGGGTTGTACGAACGCTGAGAGCGGGATCCGCTTCATAGAGTATTTCTGGAAACTTTCCGGTTCAGCCATTTTCATTCGCCAAAATAGGACAAGAAGTGGTGGAATGGCGCCTTCGAACATAGAACACGCGTGTCAGAATTGAGAACGTGACATCCATAACAGACCTGAATGAGCTTGTGGAGCGATTATCACTTACCAAGGCCGAGCGACATTCGCCAGACGATGCGCAAGTGCTCCTCGCCGAAGATTTGATACAGAATAAGAGGTACAAGGGCCTGAGGGAAAAAGACGGATTTAAGTATAATGGAGCAGGGGCCGTTAAACGCGCCTTCTATCGCTCAGTGGACGACTTACGGCGAACACGAACCCAACATCAATCATAGCGTTCGTGGCGAGAGCGAAAATTCCGTTTTGAGACTTGGTTGGAACTGAGTGCAGAAATATAGTAGAAAAACGCGTCATGGTCAGTTTGGCAAAGGATACAAACAATTTCCACGTCGTCAGTGGTTGTCAGGATAAGGTAAAAATCGAAATAAATAAAATGGGACAATGTAGAAATTGAAGATCGGGAGAATACTCACCACCTTCCTGCTCGGTGTTTTCGGCAGCAGCCACACTTCCAGATGGATATTCGGCCCCAATACCAATCCCACCGAAGAACCTGAAATTCCGCAAAGAAAAGTGACGCGTGATGTTTGAGGGACGTCACAATCCAGCTGATTCCCAAAAAATGACACTGTGTCTAGCACTTACCTGTAGGCACTGAGGGCTTGTAGCATCCCTATTGTACTTCCTCCAGCACCGTATGCTCCAGCTGACAGACACGCAAATACAAATACGATTAGAGTAGCGGCCATCATTCCAGCTTTCCGACCCCATCTATCAGAGAGAAATCCGAAAGAAATCATTCCTATTTTTTTTTTTTGAGAAAAAGCAGATAAGTGAGCATTTCCTAGAGATGGCCGGAGGCTTAAGTTACCGCTTCTCACCTAGCACAATCCCTGCAAACCCTATAGACGAAAATGAGGTGCTGTATTGCTTCAATTCCTCCTTGGACAGTTTGTCAGCGTAGATCCTACATTCAGAAACAAGAGGTAAAATTCATGTGAGCACTGTACGCCTCAAATAGAAATCAGGGTTACTTTCAAAGATTGAAGAAAAAGTACCGTTTAATTAGGGTATTAACTGTTCCGATGACCCCATTTTGATAGCCATCACTGAACAGTGCGGTACCTGAAATGAAGTCATAATAATATCAGCGTGTGGTCGTGAATTTCAAAATCCACCAGGGGATCAAAGGCTCATGAACGGGCCATACCACATGCGAAGACTAGAGCAAGGCCCTTGACTTCGAACCTTCGGGGTTTCAGAGCATCTGGCTTGGACATTGGACCGGGTAAGTTGATCGGCTTTCTTCAGCAGTATGTAATTTGTGAACGAGATCTGGATGAGCCTTGTAAATTTCAGAATTGGTCGACTATTCAAAGCGCGCCGTCCGCAATATCAGTCTTGAAGTGCTTGACTTGACCGAGAGCTCTTGTCCAATTTGTTTCGGAAGTTGCAGGTGGTGTAGTTGTGTAGTTTGATTTGTTTGAGGTAGCCAAGGGCGTCTGCTGGAAGAATCCCGCTATACTCAGAAAGGAAGTTGAGGTTTAGGAGTTACGCTGGAGGAGTCGGCGACTCGGTACTAGGGTGAATCTGGGTGAGTGTATAAAAGAATGACATACATAAGTTTATGTACTTGAGTGAGCCAAGCGGATGGGCAAGGATGGGCTATTAAAATACAGAGCAGCTGCTACAGGTTCCAGGCGAGAAGCCAATAAAGTCGAGTCGATACAGCAAGCAAATATGGGGGGAAAACGATTCGGAGCAAAACGTTCGGGCGAAGTACACTTGAACTCCCGAGCAGCTTCAAGATGGCACGTTCCGGAACTCGCCAGTGCTTTTTACCCACGCTGCGGGCAACGATGGCCAAGTCGGGCAGGGAGAAATACAGGGACAACACAACAGCGGAAGAGCGGAGCACAAAGCTTGAAAGTGGCACTAGTGACTTCACAGCGACTATGTACGAGCAGCCGACTCCTGGATCTGAGTCTCCGGTCTGGCCTGGTCTGGCTCGCCGTCGGCTGCAGAAAGCTTCAAGCTTGACGAGCGTCGACCGTCCAACTTGAAGAGGCACTCTGTGAGTTGAGATCATTGAGGTGAAACACATCGAAATGTCTCTGCCAACATACCCACAGATGCCCACACACGAATAGATGAATGATCCTCTGTCATGTTTGCTACGGAAGACCAAACACGAGCCCAGCACTCAAGGGTGCATGGCATCCAACCTTCACAACGAATCTCATTGACGGCAAACAATGGAGGTGTAGGAAGGAATAGTGCGTTTGTGAATGCTTCAAGAAGCTGCCCTACATGGACAATTCTCCACCACAAAATAGACGCTCTTTCCTCTTTTGGGATAAAATCAAATCACAAGTTTCCTGGCATGATGGCACACATCCCAAATCAGAAGATGTTCCAAGGCCTCCTTTCACTTCAGGAGCCCAAGGAAGTTTGGAACATGATGTGCACCAGATAGTTTGGCTGGAAGCTTATACCAAAGCACCAAGAGGATCTACTTGACAAAACTGAAACTGAGACAGCTTGGCTAACATGGCTTAGCCTTAAGCAGGTCACATTTCAAGTGATCATCTGGATGCTTTCTGGTCACAGATACAAGCTTGAATACATCAAGATTTAGAATGAGCAGGGAAAAATGTTGGAGGCAATGACATGCAAAACAATTATGTCAAAATGGTGAGTTTGGCCTGAGGGGAAAGACCATCTTCAGATCCTTTTTCTGGTAACCTCAGTAGCTCTTGAGTGGCTCATTCTATTTCTTTTTTTCTTACTGGAGAACTTAAGAGGGCAGGCTATCCCCTGTTCTTTCTCATTCATTTTTATTTCATTTGTCCTTTATTCTTTTCCCAGCAACTTGCAAGTTCAAAGGTACAAAATTGAAGATGATGGGAGTGAGGTATGCTGACTGTCAGACTTTTGTCAGCAGCTGACAAAAGACTGCCAGCAGAAAGCCAAGATTCAGATAGTTCTATGGTTTAAGTTAACACAGCAAATCTGAGGGCATTCTGTATTTATGAAAAAGGGAGAAGATTAGCTTCCCTCTCCTTCCAAAAAAGTTGTGCAGATTGTGCAAAAGTCCTGCTGGAGATCTCTAGAGACAAAATATGGCTTGCACCCCTCAGAGCAGGACAAAGGCATGAAAATAATCCAGGTTTGACTGACAACAACATGTGCCTTGATTTCTTTCACAACATGGCCATCTTTTTTTGACAAAAGGTGAGCCTGCATCAATCTAAGTTTGAGCAAGTACAACATAAACATGTGTCTCAGCTTGACTTGATGTGATGTTAGTACCACTATGTTGCATATTTTTCCAGTCAATAAACCAATGCAAATGATCCAAACCACATTTTCAAGTCTTGCTAATCATGGTACTTATTGTTAAATTCTAGACCAGAATTGTGTGTGAGGTTCAACTAGGGAAGAACTGCCTTGAGAAACTTCAAAGTTGACAAACAAAAAAGGATGAAAAAAGGGTGTGAGTGGCAGCAGGTGACATGACATAGCTTACCAGTGTACCTTGGCAATATGGACATTGATTGTGCATCAAAGTTTGGCTTGGAACAACAAGGAGTTTCTTTTGGGAATAGTTTCCCTGCCAAGCAGCCTTGATGTAGAGTCGAGTGGCCCAGAGCCACTTGGGAAAAATATTGACTTGTTACAATCACACTCTTGTGACCCGACTTAGATCAAAAAGAAGCATTGGATGACTTCCCGTTGACATCTGCAGGTCTCCCAGTTTTGCTTTAGAGCCGCAAAAGCTAGATTTCCCTGCAAAAATCTAGACTTTTCGGGTCTAAATCGCAAACTGTGAGGGTCCCAGATCCGACGGGAAGTCCTCCATTGAAAGGCAAGAGTTATAATGGTGTAAATGTGGTAATCCTTTTAGTATCATTTCGTACAACAAGAGCAGGAAAAACGAGCTTGGAACTAAGGATGAAGTACATAATGGAAAGTTGTACAACTAGGAAGTAAACATCTTCAAATAAATATATAAGTATATATATGGCACAATAGTGAGAAGGATAGCGTATTAAATACAGTTTTGATTTTTCTCAAATGATACTCCAGCCTTCATCAACAGAGTCTTCAGGCTTGGATTGTAGCACTTCTTTGATGACTTCCTGCAAATCAATACACGTGGGGTTTGAAGGGTCGTCAGGTCGCATCAGGAACGTCCGACCGGTAAGGTGACTGAGATGACCGATTGGACGAGTGAAGCACAGAGAATGGAGGTTTCGAAGCAATTCGGTGGGTTTACAACCAGTTGCGGGAGCCTGGGCCTTCGGCAAAGAAGTCGGGTATTGGGAGGGGGGAGGGAGGGGCTGGTCTTTCGAATCGAGCGATCGCGGAATAAGTTGAGGTTGTTGAGTCAATAGCAAATAATGCGCGTTGATTGCTAACATGCACAAGCCACTGAGGAAAGCGATCTGGGAAACCTGAGATCCAGACGAATGCACCATTGACGTGATTGAACTCGGAAGATGTAACGGATAAGGTGAGGGATGTCTACAAGAAATTAAACTTCTAGTCAGTATGTCGTTGTCAACTCTCAATCGTTGTGGGGGAGATTGCGGAAAAAGATGGGTGCGAGAAGATGAGATGAACTCAACTTTTTACTCCAAAAACTGTTTAGTGGGGCTTTAATGCTCAAAAAAGGGCCCATGATCAATTGGAATGGCAACTTGATACCTAGATACATCGCAAGTAGTCTGAGAAGGTGAGAGGTATAGAGCGTTGCCGCGGAGATTTCTTCATGGTGATAAGCTATTTGTTCATGATAGTCTTTGATTCAGTTTGGGCTAGTTTGGGGAACAAAGGTGATAGATAATTGAACATAACACACACACATTTGATTTCGGTTGAAACAGGCAAACACAGCCCTAGTATTCTCCAGGAAGGTGTTGACAGAGCGGGCGACACAGCCTTGGGATCTTCACGAGCTGGCAAGATTTGTTTTTCAAGGCGAGGATTGGAAGGTGCTGTGTGATTGACAGTGATAGTGTAAATGATGGCCAGTTGCCTGATCAATTTCTCTCTGACATGAGTCAATTCTTGGATAACCGCATCCCAATCTTGGTGGACCGAAGCGAGTTGCTGAGGCAAATCCATTATTTGAGCTGAAGGTTCACAAAAAGCTCGACCGGCACATTCTGAGGGTGGTTGATGGAGTGCGGCGGATCGGTATCGCAGCTGAGATCGAGCTGCTTGTAGTCTACTCTGCCGTATGGCTAGTTCCCTTCGTTTCTTTGAGATTGAAGCTTCAAGTGACTCGGATCGTTCCAAGGAGCTCGCCCGTTCTGCTTCAAGGGACCGTATGCTCAAGATTAGAGCAGCGCGTTTGGATTTGAGGACCCGCCTTTCCTGTATTCCTCCGGGTGCTTCGAGGAGCTGGGTGGCTTTCTGGACGGTTACATCATGAGCGGCACTAAGACGTTTGAGGGAAGAGTTATGAATAAAGAGTCGCTCGCTGAGACTACATGGAACAAAACAGAAGAGCAGGTGTCAACCACTCCAGCGCTCTCACAGAGCAGTCAGACAAACTTACCACGTTTCACAAAAGAATTTCTTTCGACCTGGTTTCCCACATAGCTCGCACTCCATGAGCGTATCGATTTCCAAAGCAGATGGGTCGGATTGGTTGAGCAAGCTGAAGTTTGAGGCTGTTGTCGTGGATTCGAGATTCCAGATTTCAGTCAACAAAGGAAGCCAGCCTGAGCCATGGCCTGGCCCCGGCGGGATTGATGCATATTCAAATTGACTCATATGCATCTGATAATCGCCGGGGGGGCTTCGGGGGTCTACATATGTTCCCCAAATGGAGGGAAAGCCGAAAACAAAGTGTTCAATTCTTAACGTTCGATCTGATTGACTTCGGATGTCATCCTCACATCTTTAACCCTATGGGCCTTCGAGTGGCCAACGTGTGCATTTACTGGAGAAGTACACCGCAACACTCGGTGGACTGCATTTTTTTGAAAAGAAAACATCCACATATTTACTTGTTTGAGGCTAATCGGATCGCAAGGTGTTAATATCGCTGTGGCAGTCTCACGTGGACTTTGGAGCCTGGACATTTTATGATGTTCTCAATAGAAGTAGATTCAGTCTACAAATTGGTTTTCCACTCGCTCAAAAGCTGGATTGCAGTGTGCGAGAAGTCAACAGAAACATAATATATATAATAAAATATGAAAGGTCCTTTGGAAGTTTAATTGTCTAGCAAAATAAAACCAATGTAACCTATCGGAGGTCTCAAAAGAAGAACAGAACAGAAAGGAACGGACCGAAACGATCAAGCTGTTAAAAGAAGCCTCGCAGAGATCTTCACAATAGCATGAAAGAAATTGAAAGGACAAAGAAAGACTAGGAAGGACATCAAACAAGAAGGAGCAGATCGATCGAGCCTCTTCTAAATTTGTAGACCGGATTGAAGATCACATTATAGGCAGGCTTTGGCTTTGACCGTCTGACGGTAGACCCGTCTTGAACCGGATCCAGAGTGACCTTGACCACCGCCACCAGAGTCGCCGGAACCATTGGAGTCATTGCCACTGGAGTCATTGCCACTGGAGTCATTGCCACTGGAGTCATTGCCACCGGAGCCAGTGCCACTGGAGCCAGTGCTACCAGAGCCAGTGCCACTGGAGCCAGTGTTACCAGAGCCAGTGTTACCAGAGCCAGTGTTACCAGAGCCAGTGCCATCGGAGCCAGTGCCATCGGAGCCAGTGCCATCGGATCCATTACCAGATTTGTCTTGCTTTTTTTTCTTGGGTTTTTTCTTCTCCTTTTTTGGAGCTTGACCAGGGTTTTTCGAACCGCCCGAATTAGATGGTGGAGGAGTAGGATCGGTGGTAGGGGGGGCGGGGTTGACCGAAGGTGGTGGGTTGCTGTTGGCATTGCACTGATCATTTTCACATCCGTGTTTGATCTTTTTGCAGTTTGACTTGATGCAAACTTTGTTGGTTCCACAGTGTTCCATGCAGCTGCAGTAGTTGAGACATTTGTCGGAATCGTGGCCAGGTTGAGGTGGGTTTGCCGGGGGTGGTGGAAGAGCCGGACATTTGCTTTTGTCGCATTTGTTGCCTTTGCTACCACATTGAGAGATACAATTGTCGTCCTTGCAATGAGAAGCGCACGAGCAGAATGAGGCGCATTTGTCGGGTATAACGGTGCCGTTCTTTCCGCATTTGTCATGCGGGCCGGGGACCCAGTTAGGAGGTGGTGGATATGCGCTAGCAGGAGCAGGTGTATACATTTTCGAACCATATGCACCCGGTGCTATGCCAGGATCTCTGTTTTCCTCGCCTATACCAGATAAACATTGGTTTTTACTTAGTTGGCTTGTAATTGCAGCTCGTAGTTCATTGGAGTATTAGACTTACATGGTAGACCACATTTGGGATGCTTTGGCTCGGAGGGGCCCCACAAGAAACGGTTCACAGCACCTTTAGGCCATGGTACGAGCTTAGATGGATCGAAGCCGGGATAGTGCTCATCATGGTCCACTTGGAGTGTGCCCATGGGAGTTGGCCCAACGAGGAATTTGCCACTAAGACTTTGTTCATAGCCGAGGGCACCAGATTGAGGGTCGGCTAAGAATCGGCACGGTGAGAAATCGTTAGAATGATCAATTTGTATGCTGAGAGGCAGGATGACTCACAAATCTCTTTAACACCGGCTAGAGGTGATTAATTTTTTCCGAAAAAGAACCAATTCAAAAAAAAATAAAAGTCAAGAATTTAGATAAGCACCCTTATCATATAATAAGACTAGGTTTCGCAAAAACCGACTGACTTCCGTCGACCCCTGCTAGGCCGCTGATTGTTTTAAGAAACGAAATTACAAGTCAGCTCGAGTTTAAAGCTGAAATTCTTGCCTTATCATTGGGGTACTTACTGCCAGAAAAATGTGTAAGAATCGAGGAAGTCGAGTTCCACTTCATCCGGTCCTGGGTGTGTCGCGTACGCCCAGCAGTCTCCGTATGGCTGTTTGGTTGCAAGAGTCGAAGTTAGCAAAGCAAAACGTAGGAGAGCTAGATTTCGTACTAACGCAGCCATGATAATTGTCCTCCCCATGATTGACTTTAAACCACGCGAAAAGTTGAACTAGATGACATTGAAACAAACAAAAGAACACGATCGACAAATCAGATGGTCATTTCAGGCGTGTTATCGGAATGCTGAGCCGACTTACCATGAGGATACGACAGTCGAGTATTCATAGCACATTCCGATGCCTGGATCTCCCGAGTCATTCGGGTAGCTACGATTGGGGAACAAAGCAACCGTGACATTAATCTACTGATTTGGAGGTATAGGCCGCTGAAAGAGGAGCTCGACTAACGTTGATTTTTGTCTAACCATGCCTGGGTTGGCTTGGTATTTCGTATATGGCCAGTGGCTGGGTCGGCGTTTCCGGCAATGTATGGAAGCTGCATCAAGCCAGCCATGGCAATGGCAGCCACGAGTCCCGTTAGACTGAGCATGATTCAAATGATGCCAGCGAGGAATAAGGAATTAATGAAGATTGCGGATTTTGGTGAGAGATAATTGGTACTAGGACTAGTAATAATAGATTGCTTGGTTTTCTAAAAGACCTGCTTATGGGAAACGTAGCAAATATAAGGGATTATGTTGAGATCTGGGTTCTGCGGCAGCAGGCGACGATCGGTGGGTGAGTCTAAAGTGAAGGGTACTGAAGGAATGTTACTCCAAACTAGAGTTCGGTTTGTAGAGAATGGAAGTGGAGGAAACACTAAGTAGGTTGTATGTGATGAAGCCTGAGGGAAGAGTAGATGAGGGCGCTGATCAGACGCTACTTAAATGCTCCAAATGCTGAGAAGGGCGGAGGACCGGCAGGGATAAACATATACCTGGCTGGCGTGACCCAGCATGTATCACCTCATGGAAATATATCACGGCCCATATCGATTGTCGTCTTTGGTGGTACGTCTTTGGGCGCTGCGCAGAGAGCTTGGGGCTTTACAAAAGAGGGTGCTTTCCCTCCCAGAGAGGCTGCATACACGAATCCACGATACAACATCAATCTGTAGTTCACAGAATCGTGGATGGAATGTGTGGCTGATCTGGATCTATTGAAAAGTCGAAGGTTTTGTTATGTACCGATGATCGTGCGTTTTGCTACGTTTTCAAGTGTAAGAATCTCAATTCTAATCTCAGTCGCTTTTTCTGTGTATGTGTGTATTCCAGTTTCAATATTTTATTTGCCATTGCTTTCGCTTTCCGACTTGATGACTTGCAATAACTGTCATGTGTGACTTATTCTTCTATGAGGCGGAGGGGACCGTGGTCCGACCCCCATTTTATGATCTACCAACCCTCCGTCCAAAGACCCTGAAAGGAAACCAATGTGCAGTTCAACTGCCTCACAGAGCCTCATCGGCGACCTTGAAAGGAACACGACTCCTGTTACTCATGCAAGCCATAAGAAACACCAGCCCGACTAAACCCGATGGCGTCTCGTGTGTCTATGGTCACGCAAGGCGCCCGGTAACTGTTCCTGCAAGCCATCGATTCATGTGTCTATGTTCACGCAAGCCGCCAGAGCTGAGAGGACTGACTGCTATCCTCTAATAAGGTACACGCGCGCGCAAGAGCTGGTTTTAGAGTGTACATTTTTTTTTTTCATCTGAGGCAAAAATGCCCCTTCGCTTCCTCCTGAGCCGACAATACTGAATAATATCCATCATCGCCCTTGCTACGTATTGTTTTTTCCAAAAATGTTGGAACCTCTCCAAAAAAAATCATCTTGTTATGCATCAAAAAGCTTGTTTTATCAGCTTGTTTATTCTGAGCACTAGGGTGACCCGCGTTGTTAGCGCGCCGCGGGCACCCTAGGACCTTGGACCATGAGAGACTGGCCAATGAAATGGGAACTTGACTCAAAAGAGTCTGATTGAAGGATTGTGACAGGAAAAAGATGTTGGATTTCATGTTCAGATCTGCCAAAACAAAGAGAAATTTCACTACATATAATCTAATGTAATGTCAAAAATTTTAAAAAAGGGAGCTTCCCTAAGGGACCCCCCAAACCTAAGAGGATCCAGAAGGAACACAAAGATCCAGTGGCAGGCAACAGTAATAGAAAATAAATCAAAATTCACCACAGTTACTGAGAATCATCAAGGACATGTTTAATGACATCAAGGTTGACTACACCTAGGGTGCACACCGACGTGGGCCAATACCGGTTTTTACCGTGGATCCCACGAGTGGCGCCCGCGGGAGGTCGGACCAAGATCTGACGGTCCTTAGTATTCCGTGGGCTCCACCAATCGGCCCACGGGTGCATCCCGAGATTGTCTCATGGAGCCAACGAGGAAGCTCGCTGGGCCGCCGCTAAAGAATTGGCAGCGGCCCTAAAAAGGAGCAGGCATGGAGTCAAACTCCGGCAGTGGAGCAAGGCCAAGCATCAATGAGGATGCTCGACCGTTGGTCTACATGGTCTTGAGATTTGGACCATCCTTCCGATATCAGATCAGCCCAGAGTCATTGTTTCCCTCACTTTCAAGTTTTTTTTTCTTCCAAAACTCATTTTTCTCGAGTTTTTGGACAGTCAGGACCCCCATTGGTGGGTCCTGGTTGTAGGTGGATTGAGGGTCGGCTGTCGTGGAACCAACGTGGGCAACGTGTCCACGTGGTCCCGACCAACTCAAATTTTGTTTCGTGGAACCATCGACAAAGAAAACACTTGGTTTGTGGAACCGACGACAAAATCAGACTTACCAAACATTTACAGAGCCAATCTTGTGGATTCCACAGATTGGCTGTGATTTGTCGGTTCCACAATCCCACTCGGCAAGAAGTGCCCCTGGGGTGTCAATTTGTGGTCTCAGGTTGTGATTTTGGATTTGCAACCATGCATATGGAAAGTCCTGCAACACTCGTCACTCGGGATAAAGCAACATACAGCTGCCCATGCCCAAAAACAGGCTGGGGGAGATAGACAGACACTGTTGATAAGGACTGTCCTTGAGCCTTGTTGATGGTAAGGGCAAATGCAACCAAAACCGGGAATTGATACCACTTGAAAGAGACTCCATAGACGTGATTGGCCTTGTGTGTCAGAGAGATTTTTGGAATGAGTGCCTCATGCCCAGCACGTGATCCGGTTAAGATTTTACACCATAAGACATGATCTGATATGCCTAGGACTAATAACCTGGTACTGTTTGAAAGTCCATTTTTCAGATCCGGTGTCCCAACTTTAAGCTTCAAATTGCAGAGGGGAAAACCGGGCAGTGTGAAATTGATGAGAACTTCCTCTGGAATGACCTCTTCAGTATCCACGCTGTTGTCTTCATTGGCCATTGTGTCATGTTGAAATTCTCCCTATCTTTCTCTCTCTTCCCTTTATTCTTTCTCATCACCCTCAATCAGACTAGATTAATTCTTACCAAGTAGCAGGTCTTTGTTGTTTTCTGAGTTCCTACTGAGTCAAATTTGAACCACATAAGCTCAACTCAATATTCTTGTCTCTACGGTATTATCTTCTCTCTTTCCTGACTTGTTGTGTGTTATTAAAAAATTGATTAACAAGAATTAACGCCTGTTGTTATTTGTGACTTAAAATATTTTCTCTTGACTAACTCATCTGGCCTTACTACAAGAGAATGAGAAGTATTGTCTAGTTTTTTATTTTCCAAGAACTTATTTTATTTTCTCTCAATTTTTTATTCAAAATACTTTTTTCTATTCATTATTACAAACCACAATTTGACCTCTTGTACTTAGCCTATTTAAGCATGACTAACTGAGAGAATGAAAATTATCGGTTCTTTCATTCTTTCACCGTGAACCTTTCCCAAAAAAGGTCCTCCACTTTTTTGTGCCATTCCCTCTCTTCAGCCTGTCTTGAGTTCAAAAATTCAACATGTCGACTGAGTGTGAAATGTGGTATGCACCTGGGAGGTAATTGCGACAGAGTTCATTGAGTCTTGAAACATTGACATTAAATGGCACAAGAATAGGTCTCTTGGCAAAGTAATTGGCCATTATGTCAAAGTCCTGAGATTGAGCTGTCAACCGTAGATCTGTGTAGACCTCTGAAATAGCCTTTTGCTCAACAACTTCCGGAGAGGAGTCCATGAAAACAGAGCCATACAGAAGTTCAATATCAGCAGATATGTCTTGCTGAGAAGAGCCTGATCCCACAGACAACAGCCACTTGTAGAATTCTGCATTGAGCTGAGTGGTTTCTGTGTTGGTGTTAATGAGCTGCAGGTTCTCTGTGAGCTAAAATCTGAAGACATTGGCGCAGAGGGGAGAATTGATCATGCAAACTGCCCCTTGGTCTAATATGGTCCCTCCTGGAACTACAGGCAACGTTTGTCAAAAGTCACCACCAAAGATCACCAACTTGCCACCAAAAGGCTCATCAATATCAAGGAGTTACTGGAATTCTCTGTCAACACTTTTGACAGCATATTGGCTGTGCATTGAAATCTTGTCCCATAAGATGAATTGGGCACTGCACATAATGTCGGCCATGGATGATTAGTGATCCCAATTGCACTTGTTGGGATAGGAGTATGCTTATATCCAGTACATAGTATGCTTCAACTAAAACTCAAGCCATCATGTATATAACCTATACCTTACCTGATTGCTACTGTAGTGTTTCTTCCCCCAGTGAATCAAACCATACTTTTCTCACTCACCAAGTGTCACTGGCCTGTCAGCCGTGAACTTTGGTTCTTCATCCTTTGTTACACCCAACAGCACTGAGTAGAGCTGTTAACATTCAATGGTGTTTTGAATTGTGAGTGAGCTGTCATGCCATTCACCAACATCAAAACTGCGACACCGGAGGATGCAACCGTAGTAACAGGGATATTTGAGGCAGATAAGTAATGAATGATTCCATTCATTGAAAAGGTGTTCCCGCATCCACCGGGGCCGTCTATGTACAGTCCTGCCTCCAGCTGATTGGTCAGTTCAACAACTGTCTCCGGGATGATTTTCTGCCTCTGATTGAGCCGATTGGACATGTCAAGAAATTTACTGTGCCTTTCAAGAACTTGATCCAATAGGAAATAACACAGCTGATTATTTTTGTATTCTGTGGGGTTTTCTATGCCATACTTTGACACTAACTTGTGGTTGAGATTGTCAGACAGAGGCTCAATGAAGCTGTTGAGGATATTTAGGGGGTCAGAAGGTGGGCTGTGGAGTAGAAGCATGCAGAACATAAACCTGAGAGCAGAACCTGTCATCCATACAGAGGCTTCAGACATTGATTGGATGTAGTGCTGGTCCAACACCAGCAATCCAAGTGCAAGAGCAGCTTCTTGGAAAGTGGGATGAACAAAATTATCAACAGTCCGTAGATCCTCAAAACTGGTTGGCCCACGTCTGTTCAGTAGAAGGAGTTGGAGAAAATACCGTTTGCCCTTGTTGATTGATGCAAAATAGAGCCGGTGTAAGACTCAAAAGTGGTTATGAAAACCCTTTTGCTGAATGGAGAAGGGTATGTTGGAGTTGCAAGCTCTGCCCTTCTATACTATCAGAATAACAAGACCACCAAGCTTAGCTTGGCAATTTTATATATAGTGATAGGGATAAGTTCGAGATGAAGCTGCCGATTGATATGTGTGAGGGTATAAAGATGTTATTGACTGTTGGTTATATTGATGAAGTTGTTATTGATGGACATGGTTCAGGGCACTTTTGGTTTATGATGATGATGAAAGTGTTAAATCTGTATTTCAATGTATATAATTCTGAAATTGTAATGTGGCTATGACTTGTAGTTCTGAAATAATATATAAGATGGATTTATTTATAAGGGTGGTTGAGATGATCTGGTCCACTGGTGGGATGATGGAGGGAACAACTGGCAGGCAGAGGCCTCCTTATATAGACAAATGTGAGGGATTTTGGCCCCAGGGTACAGGCTGAAAGATACTACTACAAAGGGATGCATATAAATGAATAAAGGGACGCATATGTATGATCAAAGGGATACATACATGCAATATCACTAATACAAAGGGATTCAAAATAACGTAAAGGTATTCAATTTACTACAAAGGAATCCAGTATGCAATATGCATCCTGTATTCATAATGACTATGGCTAGAGTGAAGAATCCAAGAACTATCCCGTGACAGGTTGAAATCTGTGTAACTTCTAAACTATAAGAGATAAGGGTATGGTTGTAGTGGGTGACTAGGGGTTATTTTACCTGAGGATTCCATTTTTGATGTCATTTTTACCATATCTTGAATGAATAAAGAGATAATAAGAAATTTTTATATTTTCTGCGTAGAAACACAGTATTATTTACCACATCCTCCCCCAACTTATTGGCTGTCCCCAGTCAATTCTGATTCTGACTGTGTTTTGGAGCTAATATTACAAATAAAACAAAAGACTAAGTTTGGCCGTGTGTATCTGAGATTTGTCTTGACGTGTGTTGAGTATTGTGGTGAAAATCATCCGTGGAGTCCTGATTGGTGAAGAATTGATGAGATTTTGTTACGTAGTGTTGATTTGTTTCAGAGTTTTACTTGATCTGTCCAAGAATATTGATGTCGGGGTTGAAGTTGTTTTTGAGTCTAGTTTTAATCCAATTTGATTTTGATGAGATGGTAAATTTGGCGGCAGGCGAGGTGTTTGAGTTTGATTATTCAGTTTGTTTGGGCTTGAGCTTATGCCTTATTTTAGAGTGATAACAGTAAAAAAATTGCACTGTATTTTATGACTTAATTTTAGTAGAAATTGGGCCAGATGAGGGTTTTTGAACCCAATTTAAACTATCAATTTTTGTGAATTGTGTATTGTTTTACTCATGGGATTTTATAGAGTTATGAAGAGAAAAAAACCATGATTTTCTAGGTTTTAATTCATGACCTCAAAAAGATAGGGTGCACATAGTAAGCGCAGAGGGGTTAGGTTATCCAAGGTTGACATAAGGTGGGACTCGAACTCAGGTCTGCAGCAGTTTGGCTAGTCGCGGTCCTTACTGACTCGACTATGGTGGATTTGAAAGTTAAAGCTTGTATGAGGTACTCGATCGATCGTGTTTGTTCTAGGTTTCTATGCCCTGTCACAGATTGTGACAGGGTCCGATCGGTATTAGGACTCCGCGCTAGCCTCTCCGTGGGTCCCCTCTCTTCTGGCTTCTCCCATCTTCTCATCGATTCGGCTTCTGGACGATCCTCGACTGGTTCGATTATCCATCCCCGTCGGTAAGTACATCTTCCAGTATTCTAACTTTTAGTTTCTTTTTAGTTATGTATTTTCAAATTAGTAAACTAAAAAAAACTATCTTCCTTTCGAATAGTTATCGATCGGCTCTCGACTAGCTCCGCGGCGAGTTTTGCGCATAGCTTCAGCAGTCTAGGTGAGTTTCCTTTTCCTTTTCTTTCTCTAGTCTTGTGTAGTCTCTCTAGCTGAAAAATCCGTATTCATCTTCACTCCTTTGATGTCGCGTAGTAATCCATGGATTAGCTGATCAGTCCCGGGTTTTTCGAATCGTTTTCTCTTTCATATCCGTTCCTCATCATTTTGAATCAAGGATTGCAAGATTGTCCTTGCGGCAAGTTTACAATTAGATTTTATCGACTAGGTGAGTTTCCTTTCTTATCCGATTCTCCTCCTTTTATTTTGATAGCTTTGTATAGGTTGACTAGTTAGCTGAAGATCGTTTTTTTTTTGATCTTCCTCCCTTTATTCTTGAATTAGTGCCACTGGTTCAGCCTAGCCGTGTTGGATTTTGAATCGATTCCCCTTTCATATCCAGCCCCGCGCCGATTGAATAAAGGATGCAACATGTCCTTGATCGTTCGAAAAGGAAGATTACCGCCAATGGACTTGAATCGATTGTGGATAGATTCCGATGCTGGTAAGTTAAAGCCAGGGGGTCCTCCCTTTCTTATAAATACCCTTCACTCGCTGCCGGTTTCTTTTCTTCCTCAACCACTTCCGTCATCAGTCAGCTACTCCCAAAGACCCATCCATACTCCCCAGTCACAACTTCACCTTCAAAGCCTCTTCCATCAACCAAAACTAAAGATGTCCTCTCGCTACTCCACCCCGGACTACACGCTTGACGACATGCGCTCCGAGCCTTTGATTGGAGTAAGTGATAAGTTTCTTATGATCTTGACGAGTCTGTTTCTTCATGCTAATGTGTGTGTTGATTCGATCTTAGTATGATTATGTTCAGAATGGGATTCGCTACTATCCCGATCGCGATCAATGGAGTCCTGCTTGGGAGCCGGAACCCTCTCAAGCTTCTCAACCATCTCCAAATGACATGGTTGTGGATCCACCAGTCGTTGAAGAGACTACACCAGTAAGTTGATTGTCTTTGTTTTGTTGTGTGTATCATCATGATCTGACTCCGCTTTTGACTGATATTTTAGAATACCGGAACCGCTAGTGGTTCCAATGGGAAGGCGCCAATTGACCCCGTGCTGTCTAACAATCTTTTTCGAGTAAGTTCCCCTTCCTTTTTCCCTGAAACTAGCCCCCCTTTTCAAATCCTGATTCATTGTGTGTCTTCCTTCGATTCTAGTCGACTAGTACTGGCCCCATGGAGAAGATCGTTATTCCGAAAGGGATGGAAATCGTGGAAACCCCAGGCTACTACTACCCCCTCAAGGCGAAATGGCATTTCGTTTACGATCCTCAAGAACGTTATGACCTCGTAAGTTCCTTTTCTTTGTTTGTTTGTTGTTGATCTTGACACTGATTGTGTCTCCCTTTTTTAAGTCCTCAATTCCCACCGCAGTCCCCAGATTAAGTATTTATAATGACCCTCATCCTTTCGTTTGTGTTGCGTGGAATGAGAACGACCCGGTAAGCCTTTCTTCATTTATTCTTCTCATCGCTTTCGTTGATCCCATTACTGATACGATCCGTTTTGTTATTGTTTTAAATTTCAGGAGCTTCCCCCCGGACTCCCGATCCCCTTCTTGAAGACTTCGGCTCCGATCAACTTATTTTCGGCTTCTAGTTCTCCGGCTCCGTCTTCGCAATCTAGCTCAGCGCCTTCAACCTCGTCCGGCGCTTCGTCCACTGCTTCATCGGCCTATCCCCCAATCTCCGCTTATATCGGCTTGAACCATCAAGGGGTTCAACGACTCCTCCTTGACAACAACAACCCGCCATCCGCCGTGTGTATTTATACTGAAGAAGATGTTATGCACATCTTTGAAGGTATCGCTCCCGATTACGTTCATATGTGCTCGGAGTATCCACCATCCTCTTTAGCCGAATCCGACCGTCGAGTGATGTTCTTTGAGAACATGCAATGGCATTTCAGAAATAAAAGATCTACTTATTTAAGTACCAGAGAGTCTTAGTTTGTTTTGTTTTCCCCTCCTCTTCTTCTAAGAAAAAACCCAAAAAAAATTTAAAAGGTAAAACAATCTAAAAAGTATAAAATTTCTTTTAAAGACTAAAAAAATGTGACTTCTTCTTCTTATCCCTTCCCCATGGTTACTATTATTTAACTTTGTTTTACTTTTTACTCTTCTTATTTTTCTAAGTAAATAAATTTTTAATTTTTCCAAATTGACTTTCCAGACCCCCTCCCCCAACTTTGCTGGTTGTCCTCAACCATTAGCTGAGACAGTCAGTTCTTTTGAAAGTAAGTTTTAAGAGATCAAAGAAACACAAAAAGAAAAAAGAAAAAAGTTTTGAGGAGGAAAAAAAAACTTTAAAAGAAAAAGATGACTTTACTCCTCCATGCTCCTCCCCCAACTAAAAAAAATAAATCTAAAAGAGTTTGCAGATTAGCTAAGTGAAATATTTTTACTATTTTTGAGTTGAATCCAGATTTTTTTTTTTTTTTTTTTTGATGATGAAGTGATGTTTTACAGATGATGACTAAAAAGGAAACTGATAAAAAAGAAATGTTTTATTCTGAAGTGGAGGAATTCTCATCTGAATCACCGTCTGAGTTAAGATCTGAGTCTGAGCTTGAAAGTGAGTCTTCTTCATCTTGTATATCTGCCAAAGGTCGTCCTCGTGGATAAAACCTTTTTATGTGAGATGCAGCATAGGCCCTTTTTAATTCAACCCCGTCTAGTTCTTCCAGTATGTATGATCCTCCATTAAGCTGTTTCTTAACTTTAAAAGGTCCATTCCATCTGTTTTCAAACAACTTCCCCCACTGATCCTCCAGACTTTTATTATAAGTTAAAACCAAATCCCCAGGTTGCAGTGGTTGATGTAATCTGGCCGCCATTTTTCGATCCCAGAATCTGACTGAAGTTTCTCGAGTTTCCATCATTTTGTGGTGAGCGATTTCCAAAATTTCGTCTCGTCTTTCCAGCTGTTTTGTCCTTGCTTCTAGAAGTTCGGCCGTAGTGCTGATTTCTGTCCAATCAATTCCAAGGCAACTGCCAGACCATCACTTGTGTGAGTGGTCTGTGTTTGCACTGTACCAGGGCGGGTGGGAGGTTTTTGAAAATGAAATAAGGGGGGTCTCTGAGGCGAGTATCTTGGAGGGGGAGAAGAGTGAGGAGGAACCAGCAAGAGGAAGTGAGGGAGGAAAGGATAGCGGTGAAGCACAGACCTCTAGACTATGAGGCCTGTGTTGCGCGACGGCATCAGCTCCCGGATGGCTTCCGCCTGTCTCAACTGTACTGCCTAAGGTCCTGTACCGTACAGTGAGCGCCGCGTAACGCCGAGGCTTCAGCCATGGGATTCAAGTCCTCCCATGGACACGCTATAACTCCCACTACGCTTCCGTCACCGCTCCATCCATTCAGGACGGCGGGACCGGGAGCACGAGTGCCTCTTTGTCTCTTAGTACAGCGCAAGCCGCAGCTTTGCGCATCTTGTTAACTTACATGTTCGGCACCCTGTATCGGGTGCCTAGAGAGTCCCGAAGACCACCAAGGGTCTCCCAAGACTCTCGTGTGTGGGTCAGGGGGGAGAGGTCGGTCGTCTTGAGGCAGAGAGCCCCAAGAGGCCTCCAGCAGGCCTCGTCTCTGTTCTTCCAAACCAATGCCGCCGGGAGGGTGGCAAAGGAAAGGAGGAACTTAAGCCGAGGCCGGGCGAGGAGGAGACTCTCCCCGGAGCAAACAAGACACCCCCTGAGGGGGTGGAGCAACTGCCAGACCTATCACTGTCAGTGCCAGCATAGACAGCCCAGCGTTGCGATGAAGCTCCTCTGCCCGACACTTGGAATTGGAAGTCTTTTACATTTCAATAGTTGGGAAACACTTGTTGTATTAGACTTGGGAGGCCCGAGAGGTAGCGCGGATCTCGTCAATACTTTGATGTTAGCATTCCTTGAGGGTTGATCGGGTCCAGCACTCCTCAAGCCTGTTTAGGAGGGAGAAGGTGGCTTCGAGCTCGTCAGGGGGAAATTCCCTGAGATATAGCTTGTAGCAGTCGGAAGTCCATCTCCCTCTCGAGAAGATCTGCTCGTCAGGAACCCCGAAGGCTTTCTGTATGGAGGCTCCTCCTACTCGGAAGGAGTGGCCCGATACCCCCTTGAGTCTTTGTGCCTTCCATATCTTATCCAGGGCCCTAGTAGCCGCTGGTTTAGTGAGGTGGGTACGGGAGCCGTCCGGTCCGGCGAAGCCAAAGAGGGAAGTCTCTCCGTTGGTCTCCACGAATTGCTTCGCTTCGGATAGTCTACGATTTATGGCAAGAATGGGGCAGAGCATATGAGGTAGCCGATGCAGTTGGATGAGTTGTTCCTCTCCCGGGTCGGCCGTTTTGGCTCCCCTCACGATGAGAGTGACCCTATCGCCACGTCCTTCCTGGTCAAAGTGGACATCAGTGGTCAAGAGCGATGCTTGCCTACGAAGGGATCCATTGCTGTTGTTGTAGGTCAACTCGACGAGTCGAGCCATTCCCCAGAATGCTACAACGGACAAGTCAAATAGTGCCCTCTGAAACGGGTCTCCTGAGCTCAGTAGCTCCGTGAGCTTGACCATGATCCCTATGGTGACGGCCTTTTTCCGGGGCCTCTTAGGTGTGTCGATGTCAACGTACGTGGAAGATTTAATCATCGTGGCGACCTTCTGTTTGGTCTGTTCCGGAAAAGGGGCGTCGTGGTAGATGTGCCACATCTGGATCCCGGCGAGGTATTTCCTCAGCGTAACTGCGGCCACATCGTTAGAAGTTGGTGCGTCGGCCGTTCTCCCTGCCCAATGGCAGAAGTCGTAGATGTCGACGGGTTTGAGTGGAAGTGTGTATGGCACCCTACCGGTTTCTTTTGCGAATGTTTGATATTTCTTTATGGCCGCGTTGTAGCTTAACAGCGTGTTCCATTGATACCCTAACAGGTAGTGCCTGTCTCGGGCTGTCGGCTCCTTGGGGACAGAACCGTTGTTGGTTATCCCGGGGACTCTGGAGAAATCTAACATGGTGGTAGCGAATAGTATTTGACAAAGCCTGGAAATTACTAAGTGGAGCGAAAAAAGGGGGGGGGGAGTTGGCTCGAGACGAGAAGGTAGTATTTACAACGTTATTCAACAACTAGCTTAACAAATCCCCTCGACAGAGGGCCGGAGGCAACTGGCGCTTGCGCCAGCCTGGTACAGGCCCTCCGATCGAGGGACTTGTTGTTAAGTTAGATTCAACAATAGGATTGATACAATCTTAGTTCTAGGTCATAGGGTACAACGACTGGGATCTGGAATCTGACATCTTTGCCTGACCTGTCTCCCCTAGACAGTGCATCTGCCACATTGTTTTGGGATGTAACTCTCCTTGAAACAATATCAATCTCCTCCTCCACCAGCAGTTTCTGTATCACTTTCCATTCATTGTTTACCGCCTCGTTCTTGGACTTCCGTTTTGATATTACACTCTCTGTTGTCGTGTTGTCTGTCCATACAATCAGAGTCTTCCCTGGTCTTATCTTTAGCTGTTTGAGAGCTAGAATCCCCAGTCGGATGGCCACTGTTTCGAGCCACGCAATATCGCGTTTCGGTTCTGGTCCTTGGTCCCAGTGCTTGGTTAGTTGAAATTGGGCCCAGTGTTGGCCTATGGTAATCCCAATACCGTAGCTTGTCGACGCATCGCCCATCCACCCAATTTCGGTCGGGTCTGGGTTTCGTATCATCCTTGTCTCCTTAAAGCAAAGGAGGGTGGTGAGCCATTCTTCCAGATCTTGACGCGCGTCGGCCGGTAGGGCCAGCTCTATGTGCCTGAAGACCCAGGCGTTCATCCACCGATATAAGCTGTTAAGGTAGCACCGGAGTTGTGGGAGAAGGTACGAAACGTGGTTGAGTCTTCCTGCCATGATTTCGACTTGTTTGAAGGAGAATACCGTTTCCGGTGCTAGGAATTGTTTTATCTGCTGTATCCTTTGAAACTTCTTGTCGTCCGGTAATCTTACTGTCTTCTTGGCCGCGTTCCAGATGAAGCCGATGTACTTCTGTTCTTCCTTGAACGGGGAGTATTTTGTTGAGTTGGTTTTTACCCCTAGCTCCTCTGATCGTGCTACGATTTGCTCCATGTCGACGGTGGAGTCCTGTCGCTTGATGAACAGGTTATCGTCTACCCACCGAAAAACGGTGATCAAGTCGAACTCGTGCAACATGAGGTCTTTCCACGCATCCGCTGGTCTGCCGAATGAACCGCAACCTGCTACACCTCCAAATGCTATCCTAGTGTCAATTAAGATGCCGCCGTTAAAGTCTCGGACCATGAGGTAGGCCCATTGAGATTTGGCGGTCGGTATCTGTCGATATGCCTTTTCCCAATCGAAGAGGGCCAATAGGATCGGCTCTTCTTGGTTTCGGAGGAATCTAGAGACCCGTTCGAAGTCATCCCACGTGGTTACGTAGTCTAATTTGTCGACGAAGGAGTTTACTGAGGGAACTTGGAGGTTGTCATGAGGGAAGGATAAGTCATTGATCGGTCTGACCGTGCCGTCACCGTTTACCACGGCGCCTAGCGGGTTGGATCGGAAGAAACTGTATTTCTTCATGAGTTGGGCGTGTGTGTACGGTCCGTACATGCGGCCCGCTTCGATTTCCTTGCTTATCGAGGACTCAATCTTCTCTTGTGCCAGCAGGGCCGACTGGTGGTTCGGAGGGGTGAAATAGGGGATAGATGGGCCTAGGTCGTGGTTGGGTATTCCTTGGTCAAATCCGAACTTAAGTCCGTGAATGACATCCGCGTATTTCTCTGTAAGGCCGGCTGTTTCGAGTGCCTTCTGCCATTCTACAATATCCATCTCGCATTTTACCTCTTCAGGCCATACTACAGAGGTACACCGCTCTGATTGTGTCGGAGTCGCGCTTCTTACTGACTTACTCGCACTCTCTACGACCTCAGGTAACTCATCGTTGCTTGGCTCCTGTTGGCTGTGAAGCGATTCAATATCATGGGACTAATGTCAGGATCTGACGTTCTCTCTTTGTTACTTAATGGCAAGGTTGGATTGGATTGCAAGGGGGACGGAAAGTCATCATATATTTTTTTTTTTTTTTTTTTTTTGGAAAACAATGGTGTGGTAGAGATGTAATTTAAGTAGGGAAAGATGTGTCGTGAGTTTTGAGAGGAAGATGATGTTGCTTGGTGGGTGATCTAGTTGATTGGCCGGAACGGTTGTTGCGTCTTAGTAAGGGTTGGGGGTGGGACAGAATGAGGACGTGGTAAGGATTGATAGAGCGGGGTAAGGATGGTTGGTTGGTATGGAAATGGATAGGTGTAGACAGGGGACGTGTACTTACTAGTCTCGCCTTTTGTAACCTCCTCCGTGGTTGGGGTTGTAGTTCTTCCCCTTATAACCGGAGCTCCTCTGGGGTTTCCCCTGTGCCTGATCGGGGCCGCTCGGCCGCATGGGGAGGGAGTTTGGGGTTTGGAGATGAGCGAATGGGGGTTGAGGCGTGGATGAGGAGGGGGGGTTGGTTGTGGGTTGGGAGGTCCCTTTCGTTGATTGTGTCGCTGTGGGGTTCGATTTGGTGTTTCTCTGCCCCGAGTGAGGATCCCAACCGTATCTTGGGCCTCCTACCGCGTAAGGGTTTTCCCTTAGGCCTAGTTCGTTGAAGTTTCTCTCTTCAGAGTGGGCGTCGTCTGCGGTTTCTGGTTTGTATTCCGAGATGTCCGAGACAAATTCTTCCCCGTCGTGTTCGACTCGGAAGGCGAAGGCATTGTTCCTGATCCTTATGTCGTAGCGTAGGGCTACCATGAAGCCGTGCTTGCGATGCAGCTTGTCGCAGTTATCTTTGTGGAGGAGGATCCACTCTGCTAGCCTTGGGAAGTTATAACGATTCTTCATTGTCTCGTAAAAACACCTATGATTTAACGTCCAATCTGCGAAGGATTGTGTCCATTCGTCTGGTACCGCTAGTCCGTGGTATCGGAGACCTTTCTCAGCCGAGGATTCTTCTTTCGGTCGATTTCTTGAGTGATAACTAAGGGCCTCTTCCTGCCATTTCTTGTTGAAGATGGTCAGAGGGATTGGGCCCTTGAGTTCGGAGATGTTTTTATGGAAGTATGGGGTGAATCCCCCGTCGTCATGGGAGTTTGAAATGCCCCATTTAAACTTGATGCCTTTTGATTCGATGGTTCCTTCGGCTGCTATAGGCCTCTTCTGAGGAACCACTGGAGGGCTTGTGAGGACTTGGATCTTGTGGTCGTTCTGTGACACCACTAGGGTCTCTTCCTTCAGCAGGGTGTCGTGCATCGCGAAGAATCGATCTGCTCGTTCATCATCGCCGTCTTCCTGGGCCTTGATTGCTTTGGCGAGTAGCATGCTTCTTGCTTTAGCCTTCTGCTGGATTGGATCCGCTGACTTGGGATCTTGTGGCTCTTGTGACCCCACGATTGATTTGCCTGGGCGGACAGAAATTTGTAGAGGGTGTCAGTTACTTGGCGCTTTCGTCCTTCCCTTCTTTTTTTTTTTTTTTTTTTTTTTTTTTACGCACCGATCTCTGTGTTGAGGATGGTCGCAGTTTTGGAGACTTTGGGGGCTGCTGCCGATCCCTTGGGCGTTGAGCCATTGTCTTTACGGTTTAGGTTAAGGTGGGTGTGGTTTTGCGTTCTCGCTTCCGTGCCTTTTTGTGTGGGATTCGTTTTGGATGGTGCGGAAGGGATGAGGTTTGATGGGTTTTTTGGGATCGGGGTGGAAGTATTGGAAGGGACCGTTGCAGGGTTGGAGGAGGAAGTGTTGGGGTTAGATGGAGTAGGGTTCTGGGTGGATTGGCTGAGGGAGTCACTAATTGCCTGGAGGGGGTCGATGGTCATGGTGTAATTGAGGGACGGAGTGGAGATGGAGAGCGGAGTGGGGATGGGGAGATGGTAGGAATTTGGTGGGATTTAAGATGGATTGTGTAGGATTAGGGTTTGGAATCTTGTTGTGTTTGAATTTTCTAGGTTTCTAATATCTATGGTTATGTGGTGTTTGTTTGCTTTTTGAAAATGAAATAAGGGGGGGTCTCTGAGGCGAGTATCTTGGAGGGGGAGAAGAGTGAGGAGGAGCCAGCAAGAGGAAGTGAGGGAGGAAAGGATAGCGGTGAAGCACAGACCTCTAGACTATGAGGCCTGTGTTGCGCGACGGCATCAGCTCCCGGATGGCTTCCGCCTGTCTCAACTGTACTGCCTAAGGTCCTGTACCGTACAGTGAGCGCCGCGTAACGCCAAGGCTTCAGCCATGGGATTCAAGTCCTCCCATGGACACGCTATAACTCCCACTACGCTTCCGTCACCGCTCCATGATCCTCCCCCAACTAAAAAAAATAAATCTAAAAGAGTTTGCAGATTAGCTAAGTGAAATATTTTTACTATTTTTGAGTTGAATCCAGATTTTTTTTTTTTTTTTTTTTGATGATGAAGTGATGTTTTACAGATGATGACTAAAAAGGAAACTGATAAAAAAGAAATGTTTTATTCTGAAGTGGAGGAATTCTCATCTGAATCACCGTCTGAGTTAAGATCTGAGTCTGAGCTTGAAAGTGAGTCTTCTTCATCTTGTATATCTGCCAAAGGTCGTCCTCGTGGATAAAACCTTTTTATGTGAGATGCAGCATAGGCCCTTTTTAATTCAACCCCGTCTAGTTCTTCCAGTATGTATGATCCTCCATTAAGCTGTTTCTTAACTTTAAAAGGTCCATTCCATCTGTTTTCAAACAACTTCCCCCACTGATCCTCCAGACTTTTATTATAAGTTAAAACCAAATCCCCAGGTTGCAGTGGTTGATGTAATCTGGCCGCCATTTTTCGATCCCAGAATCTGACTGAAGTTTCTCGAGTTTCCATCATTTTGTGGTGAGCGATTTCCAAAATTTCGTCTCGTCTTTCCAGCTGTTTTGTCCTTGCTTCTAGAAGTTCGGCCGTAGTGCTGATTTCTGTCCAATCAATTCCAAGATAGGTGTCCATTTCGATATCCACTGGGAGAACTGCCTTCTGTCCGAACATCAATTCATATGGGGAAAATCCAGTTGTCCTTTTTGTTGAAATTCTATCTGAAAATAAAACTAATGGTAAATATTCTCTCCATTTTCCTCCGGATTCGCCACACATTTTTACTAAAGTATCTTTAATGGCTCTGTGTCCTCTTTCAATCATTCCATTTGCTTCAGGATAGTACGGCGTAGTTGGTTTGAACTTTGCTCCAATGCTTTCCACTGCTGTAATAAACTCGTTCTTGAATTCTGGTCCATTGTCTACCGTTACCGTCTTGATTTCTCCATACCAATACACCCATTCTTCTAGAAGGAATTTAGCAATGGTTGCTGCCGTCAGCTTGACAAGTGGTGCTGCTTCTGCCCATCCTGATAAGTCGTCTCTAGCAATTAATAAATATTTATATCTTCCAGCTTTTATATGGCAGACATCTAAAGCTACTCGTCCGAATAAAGTTGTTGCTCCAGTTGGATCCCTGATTTCCCTGGGTACCAAAGCGTCTTGTTTCTGGCATGCTTCGCAACTCTGAACCCATAGTTTCACTTTCTTCTTCAAGCTGGGCCACCAGAATCGGCAAACTAGTCGTTGATAAGTTTCTTCCAGTCCTCTATGTCCTAGTTCTTCATGTACTTTTCTCAACAGTTTACTTTGATAAGAAATATTAGAGATTACTAATTGAGCCATGGGAGAATGCCGTTGCATGAGTCGTCCATCCTGGATAAAAAAGTTTACTGATTTCCGCTTCATTGACCGGTATTCTTCAGGATCCATGCCCGTTGGCCGTTTCATTGTACTTAAGTAATTTTTAAGATCCATCCAAAATCCTGGTGATTCCCACTCAAAGAGTTCATCTGATATAGAAAATGTTTTGAACTGAAAAGTTGCCCGTATCACTGGCTCATCCTCGTCAAAATCCGGCTGATCTTCGTAGAATTCTTCCTCTTCGTCACTGATAGGCCTTCTGGATAAAGCGTCCGGTAAGGTAAATGTTTTTCCTGGTTTATGTACTATGTCAAAAGAGAAGAGCTGAATAAAGGCCACCCATCGCGTCATTGGTGCATTTGGAAGTGAAGGCGAGTTAATCATTTGAATGAGTGATTGGGCGTCCACTTGTAATTCAAAATGTTGACCCCAAAGAAGTGTTTGTAGTTTCTTGAGAATTCGTGATACCCCGCATAATTCTAATTTAGGCTGAGAGTATTTGGATTCCACAGGTGAAAACACTACAGATTCGTATAAAACTGGTCTATTCAATCCTGTTTCTAGTTCTTGCTGGGCCAAAACTGCTCCTGCCGCAATAAAACTTGAATCCACTGCCAGTACAATTAATCCTGCTCCTTCCGAATAGTCCAAATTTTTCAGAGTAATATCTTCCCCAATTATTTTCTTGAGTTTATTAAAGGCTTTGTTACACTCTCCGGACCAGGCCCAGCTAATGTCTTTCCTTGTGAGTTTTCGTAGAGGTGCCGCAATTTCCGCTAGATCTTTGACAAAAATGCGGACATAAGTGACTATTCCCATAAACCCTCGTAGTTCGGTGAGACTATTTGGAGTTGGCCATGTGGTGATTTTGTTTTTCTTCTGTACTGAAACTTTTCGTCCTTCTTTGCTGACCACGTGTCCAACTATATCCAATGCAGGAACACAACAAGCAAACTTCTTGCCAGAAATAGTGAGTCCGGCTTCTTCGATTCTAAACAGTACTCTTTCCAAGGTTTGAGCGTATTCCCATATAAATCGTCGTATACCAGGGTTTTCTTCCAGAACTTCATCGTTGTAAGTTGATCGAGGTCCTTTAATTCCACCATCGTCAATAAATACGCCCACATATTCCGGAATTTTGTCTTGAAGAATCCACATCATTTGAGCTTGATAGACTGCAACCGAATTCGTGGCCCCTTGAGGAAGTCTGGTTAATTGAAATCTCCCCAATGGTGTGTCAAAGGTGGTTAAAGGCCTTGATTCTTCCGCTAATTCTCGTTCGTCGTATCCTCCCATAATATCCCCTAATCCGTAACAGGCTCGTCCGGAAAAGGCTTCTACAAATTCTTCTGTTGCTGGCGGTAATCCTGCATCCTTGATTGTTACTCGGTTCATTTCTTGTAGGTCGTGCACAATCCGTAATTTTCCATTGTGTTTTGCAACACAAAAAACTGGACTAGAGTAGCTGGAAGTGGATTGCTCGTAAAGACCTGTCCGTATCCGTTCTCGTACTAGTTCTACATAGTCGTCCTTGATTGCAGCCGGTATAGGTATTGGTTTCTTCTGCCAAGGTATATGATCAATAACCGGTATTACATAAGGTAGTCCGTAAGAGTGTTTCAAAAGCCCTCGTTCTTCCATACAAAATGCCAAAGCTTTCTCTCGGAGAACAATAACGTGCTTGAATAGTTTAAGTTCTTCTTTCCAAAGCCATCCTTCCGGTCCCAAATTAACCACTTTTAACCGTTCTTCAGTAATTTTATTCGTAGGCGTGAATTCCGGCGGATGCGGGGTAAGCGGAGTTTTGTATGGATCTCGAGACAAAGGTGGTCGCTTTAATGGTGGATTCAGTAGTTGTGGAATTGGTTGATTTATTGGCCGAACTTTCTTCCCAACTGGTTTGTACTTTGTCATGCACCACAAGTTCCCTTCCTTCCAATTCTGACATAAGTGCTTCTGGAACGTCCACCCAAGTCCTATTCCCAACAGGTCGTGGATGTTCTTGCTTGGTTCCGTCCTCGTAACTGATTCCTTTATGATCTTTTTGGCAAGGTTTGATTGTATTACAGCTCCTTCATATTGTGAACAGGTGAGTTGTTCTTGTCTGCTGTGTTCTTCTTCCCCTCTTTTTTCATGTTTGTGTTCCTTGTTACCTGTTTTACATAGTCTTAGAATTGAGTCTGAAATATCAGTGAGTATTATTTTGGAAAAGAATTGCATCAGTTTAAAAATTGTTTTGGTTAGTTTTGTAATTTCTTGTAAGATAAGAAAAAGAAAAAATAGTAGCCAGTCAAAGAACACCGGCGCCCAGAATTCAACTCTCTTGACTAGCTTCAGTGAGTTATCCCTCAATTGGACGCCGGAATTCATAAAAAATGCTGAATAATACTCTTTTTGAACATTCGATCCTCGTCGTTTGGCGGTATATTGTTGTACTGTAACTTCACGCTATTGGTACTGAGGTCCTTCTTATTATTCCAGCCTCTTCCTTGGCCCGTTCTTGCTAATGGTACTGACACCCTTCGCCCCTTTGTTCCTTGAAAAGAAAGAGTTTCGCCATTCTTGTGATATTCCAGAGTGCATCCGTAGTCAAATAAGAAAGGTCGTCCTAAAATACAGTCCTGAGCCTTGGGCGAAACAAATAAATGTGCTGGTCCGGAGAATCGTCCAATTCCAACTGGGCAATTTTCAACTACCCCATTTAAGTCACATCTTGCTCCCCCAACTCCTTTCATTGGTATATTTACTTGAACTAGTTCCAAATCCAAATCTTCTGCTACTGATCTTGGCATAACATTTACCATGGATCCTGAATCTACCATAAATTCCACACTAGCTCCCCCAACTTCGGCTGTTACGTATCCTAGGGCACAGCTGTAGTAGCAAGGGTCTGAGGGATCTTCTATTTCCGGAGTGGTCATGGCTGCTGAGACTTTTGTAGCTTCTGTAGTGATATAAGTTGCACTACTTTTCCCTGGAAGTCGATTCTGAAGTTTCGTGATTATTTGTTCTGTGTAGGATGGTGAGATAGCCGTAAGTTGCGCAAATGTTGTGGGAATTTTCAGGTGATCCAACTCTTGCAACAGGGCTTCTTCTGGTGTTGCAGCCTTATTTTTATTCACTGGCTTTTCTTTACTCCA